GGACCCCCTGGTCTGGTCTGAATTCCTAGCAGCTGGACGACCGGGGTTCGTCAGCCCATGATTACGAGGTGTGGCCGTGGTTGGCTTGGCCAGGACGACGCTGGGTAAAGGGCCAGGATTCTGGCGCAGGGCAGCTTGTTTCGTTTGGTTTAGATCGCCCCAATCATGCTGAAGCAGACTTGACGCACACACCCACGCAAGCACTCGCCATGACAGCGTCGTTGGCAGCGTGTTCCACACCGGGCTCTTGGAAAGTCCAGAAGCTGTTGGAACAGAACTCTCTACCTTCGCTATCCAAGGTACAACACAACAGAGAGAAGACAAGCCACCAGCACATGCCAAGCCCATGTCGGCAAAGCCAAAGGTCCTTGGCGTTCCGAGACCGACTCATGAAGCACAGAGTTACAGCCGCGGGCACCAGAGTTCACGGAGGGGACGGGTCTTAGTTGGAGTCATCACGACAGTTCGAAGGCGTCAATGTGGAGAAGCCCAAGCTGCCGTAAGGCCTAGCAGGACGCCCTCAAGCCCTGGGCAAGCTGCTCAGCAGGACCGGTGCAAGACAAGTCGAGCATTTCGCAGGTACGAGACGAGAGCCGGCCAAAGCCACCGCCCGGTCCAGGCTCCATCCGACACCCATGCTCTCAGGACTTATACTAGCCCTGCAATTCACACGCCCACGCCCACCAAGACTGGGTGCTCGTACACGCCCTCACCTCCCACACCTCCGCATCATGGACGATTCGCACATATATGGAAGCATCTCCTCTCGGCACTCCGGAAGTTCCTGCATCACAGCCTCATCCATCAACTACTCCTCAGAACCAGCTCTCTGAGCTTTCAAAGGGCACCAGATCGACCGAGTTTTGGAATTTGCATCTTGGACGAATCAACCACCTCTGATCTGATCGTCTGTTTCGCCACCTCCTGCATTTGTGTGCCAGATAACGACCATCACACGCACGACTACATCATACACCTTCTCCTCACCCTCCCTCTGCACTTGATTGGGCCGATCGATCCGCCTTAGCTTGCATATCGATTGAGTTTGCTCTTCATCATTAATATATATTATCAACACCATCGCCCTCACACAGCGTCAACTATTTTCTCATCCAAACCCCAAACGACTTACACCCACTCACACTTATACTCACAACCTACCCACACCCACACACTAAGCATCTACAACAACCACCATCGCCATCATGCCCATCTTCAGCGGTCTTGGCCAGCGAAGAGGGTCGAAGCCTCGGGAGCTGCACATTCGCAAGGTCTCATTCTCCGGCTGCTCGCTTGCTTCTACTTCCGACCGATCATTTTCTTCCGACTCATCAACATCAACCATCCGCGCCATCACTCCTAGCCTGGCTACCAGCGTCGGCACCGCTTCCAGCTTCGACAGCTTCTCTATCCACTCAGCCTCTCAACCTCCCAAACGGCTACATGACCGGCCATTCATCATGACTAACCAGCAACACTACGAGTCGGCGCCGACGTTTTATGATAGCGAGGATACCGAGAGCAGTGATATGGAGGCGTCAGAGAGAGATTTTGACGGAGAGGATGAGGACCTGCCTCAGTTCACCATGGAGCTGCCTCATGCCAGCCCTGTGAACCACCACGAATATGAGAGTGGGGATGAGCCACGGGACTACTTCTTCCAGTACATCAACAAGCGACCTTCTCTACCACGGTCTCGCTGGTCGGAATCTACCATTGAAAGCATCGACTCACTAGATGACATGACTCCTGTGACGAGCATGTCCGAGCCCGTCTCGTCAAACACCATGGCTGAAGCCGAAGAAGCTGAAGCCGCAGGCGCGTCCACGCCTAGCACCATTACCTCTATCTCCCCCGCCCCCAAGAGACCTACCTTCAAGACTGTGGACAGTTTTGAAGACTACGTCAGGCGCGGAGGGTGGAAGCGAAGAGGCATCGTCTTCAATCGCGACGAAGTCGATACATATTAAACCTGATCACACATCAACACAACCATCTCCTATCAACCAGTATATTCTCTTCATGGCACATATTTTATCATTATCAGGGATTTAACTTTTTTTCTTTTTAATCATCAACATACGCACGCTGCACGCAAGACTTGGAGTCTACCTATTTTGTCTTTTTTTCTTTTTGTTTTAAGGGTTATACGGGAAGGATTCATTGGGCACTTGACGACGGTCTCGGATTACGGCCAGTCACAAAAAAAGAAGCGACGCTTGCAACACTGCACTTTTTTCTTTTGCTATTTGGGAATTAGGGACGAAGCGACGGCTGGAAGGGACATCGATTCGCATTGGATACCCGAGGGGGGTGGACCCAAGACAACCACACGCTACAATATGTCTATCATTGACTACTTTTCTTTATTGTTTATTTTCTTGCATCTATCTACTATAGCCTATAGCTACTATACTCACATGGGCACAACGCCTCCAAACACCTTGCTCCAAGATTATCAATACAGAGCACAAACAAATCACCCTTGTTCCTCAAGTTTGCAGTGACTCTACCAGTAGAAAATCTTTCAACTCTTATCTGCCATGGCTAAGTCGGCAATCACTTTTCACAGCCGAATCTCGGCGTCGTCATTCCTCTCCACTTGGACGGACAATGGCGTGCCGTACGAGATGCCGAGCCACGCGACTTTTCGGCACCAAAAAAAACCCTGCCTTAGTACCTGTACCTAGCTGGGGTTTTTTTCAGCAGCCTTCTCTCTCTCCCCTCCATTTTTTTTTTTCTTCGCCGGGCATCGTGACCTGGAAAGAAAAAATGAGGGCCTCGGCAGCGCCGTCGCATGGTTGAGCCGGATTTAAACCAAGTGGATGCGGGTGCTGCTATTAATAACGGGAGGGAGCAGAGCAGAGCAGGGGTGTCTTGTATGCGTTCTGTCCTGTGTGCCTTACAGTAGCAGCATTTCGTATGTACAGCGTGCACAAGTTTTCTTTTTCGATCGGGATGCGTGTACTCCGTAGAAGACGATGGAAGGCTTACGAGTGGTTGGAATGGAACGCGGACTAAAGCATGCAAGTAAACTTGTATGGCATAAAAGTAGAGCATGTTTAGAAAGATGACTTGCAGCAAGAGTGGCAATTGGATTTTCTTCTGCACACGTCGCTCGATTTACCTCGTCTAGTAAATTTATACGCCCTCGTTGAGTTTCGTTCATCGTTGAGTTTTTGGCGTATTCGGCTTTGACCAAAATACGCTTTTAGCCTTGTCTCTGCCCTTTTCCGAAACGCGGCTCAACAAAAAGCTTACCGTGGTCGGCCGACAAGCATCGCCGGAGAAGGCAAAAGCACGTACGTAACTTTTAGGGATTGTTATTATGGAGTCAAAACAAAAACAAGCTCGATTGCTTTACGAGATTTCACCCCCGGTCCAAAAAAAAAAATAAAAATCAAAGGCTCTGATAAGGCTGAGGCAGCCAGCCCAGCCCCAGTACCTGGGTTTTGATTCCTGATCAGAAGCTTACTTTTTATCACACAGGGCCAAAAGTGTATGTAAGACGTGAAATGAAGGGGACTGGGGGAGGCCTTCCATCCTCTTCTTCCTTTCCAGGGGGGGCACAATGTAAAGTTGCCGTGTAATTTTGTTGAATGCCACGCTGGCGTTACATCACAGGTAAGGCGTGTCTGTTAGGACGCAGCTGAATCTAGATCTTTTTTTTTTCTTTTGCTTCTTCTCCCTTGTTGCCCAATCGGGAACCGCGAGATGTTAGCAGCACCATCGCATAAAAACTAGCAGCCCAAGTAATTAGACCTCACCAGAGAAAAAAGCAAAAAAAGAGACGGTAGAGGAAAATTTTCTAGTGCCCGCGATGTCCTCAGCTGAGCATTCCCAGTAGTCCGGCTGTTAGTCTTCAACTAGACCCCGAAGACCATCACGGACCACGCTGCTAATTTGTCCCTTAGATCCCTTTTTTCCTTTTTCGCTTTGGTTCGAGAGCAAACAGCATGGACCTACGAGATTTGATGGGACGGCAGTGTCCGAGCTACTGAGCACAGCCCTTTTTTTTTCACCTTTGCTTTTTTGCTCGCCGAATCCGCCCTCAAAAGGACGGTGAGCATGATGTAAGACCCAGGAACCCTGAAGGAGCCTCCCGTGCTTTCGGCGATTGACAGGGGCCGGTCCCTGTCAGGTCCACGTGTTGGGGGAGTGTCAGAGCGTTTTCGCAGGATTCCAGTGGGATGGTAATGGCTCCGTAATGCTACGAGCCGAACACGGGTCAGGATCGGGGTGAGACGCGCTGGAATGAGGTGAAGGGCGCTTTGAAAGGAGGATCACGACTTTGCACTACTATTAGCGTTAGGGAGTGAGACACGGAGCGGTGAATGATGTCGCTGTGATACTAACCTGGGTGATGTTAGTCGAGAAATAGACTACGGTCACGACGGAGAGGGAAGAAGGGTAGGGCTGAACGAAACCATTATGGACCGCGTGCTTTGTATCGACTCCCCTTTTAGGTTTGAGGGTAAATGGCCCCATACGGTAAGAGTTCGGCCATGATCTCCATGGAAGAATATTCGTATTGAGAGCTGAGGTAGCGATGGTAGATCTTGTAGTTATTGGTAGATCTTGTAGTGGTAGATAGATCAAGTAGCGGTAGGTAGAGCAAGTAATAATAGTAGCGGATCAACCAGAAGAACAGAGTGGGCAATAGTCCACCATATCAAAACCTTATTACTCGTATGATAACAAGCCGTAGTTGAAGCCAAGACCATCTCCAACAGTTATACACACTCTCTCGCGAAGCCCTTGGGAAACATGGACACAGAAAAAAGCCATATCAAACTTATGATCCATATATTGAACTTCAGTTGATATGCTCTCACAACACGAAAAGGATTCAATCTCCTCGGACACAATACACGGATCGAGTGGTTCGCAACGGGGTTGTCCGTTTGGCGACTTTATCACAGTCGTCCTATCTAAGAAGTTAGCAATGAGAATACCAGTTAATATAGAAAACTACAGAGGTTCTCACCTCAAAATATTTTTTATTTTTCTAAGATCGTTTCGACCGTAATTAGCAAATCGTCGCCATTGCTCCTCCCACCAAACACCACGTCGGAGAAACCTACGTGCATCAGCAGATCGTTCGCCTTAGAAGCACATAGTCAGTATTTATCATAATTTCCATTTCGTAAAACAGCAGATTTCTTACTGCTGCGCGGTCATTGTAGAACTAAAACACAAAAAATTAGCCACAACGAATGCCGAATACTCCATACTGCTTGCTAGACATGCACTTACTGCCGCCTTATTCTCGGCATTGTGATGTAGCGTGTGAATGTCAGTGTTGTATATCAGCCGAAAGCCGAAACCCATGGATCTACTTACTTCCCTCGTGCCTTTCTGTAAGACTAGTTGTTAGCAACGATGAAGAGTATAATGATGCCGCTTTGAAAACTTACATCCACCTTGGCCTGTCAGATAACAAAGTCAGCAAATGAAGAATATAGAGGTATACGCGTGAACGCGCATGACAAGACGGGTGATGGGAGAGGATGAGCAGAATAGGGTGGTGATGAATCGAAGAGACTTTCCACGCTATGAGATTCGTTAATATAATAGGTAAATGAGGCTGCTCGAGTTGCGGAACTTACTTTGGCGGCGGCAACGGCGGCGGGAGGCTGTGATGTTGTTAACGCAATTGTTCGCAGATGTCGATAATATTGACGGGAAATACAAACGTACCGCGGCTCGTTTCTATATTATCATGTTAGCACATCAATACACACGGTTTACAAGTGGGTAATCGGAGTAGGTACAAACATTCCGAGATGAATGCAAGTCAAGGGGTTGATAGGGGCTCAGTAACACCCACGTCAATCCCCCCACCGGGGTATTCTAGCCATATGGGCCATTTTCTCGTCTCTTCTGAGGATTAGCAAAGAGATTCTCACTCACAAGGAGGTCACTTGGCCCAATGTGTGGTTGACTTACGGCGGCTTGTCGGGCCTAACCGGTAGGAGAATGATGGACAGAGAAGAAAAAGAAGGTGTTGGACGGAGACGAAAGACCGCCTTCGTCCGGATAGCGACCGGCATTGGAAGATTGGTCAGAGTATGAATGTAATGCTGGTGATATTGAAGAATGAACAAAAAGAAGAGTGGGGAGGAAATGAGAGAGAATAAACAGTAAATTCGTATTATGGATTTGTTATATGTCTGTTGCATGTCTTACGTTTTTAGAGACTGGTGATGGTTATCTACAATCCAGTGACTACAGTACAAAGCGTGCTGTGATGAGATGCGAACAAGTGAAAGCGCCTTTTATCAACTTATGCACCCAGCGCTTCTACCTGTATATAATACTACCTTATCGCTACTTTGTCAACTACTGGCTACTTTCTCTACTACTGGCTACTACCGCCACCTTCTTCTAACGTCCATATATCCAGATATCAGATTGTACAGGAAATCCCATTCGCAGTCTGTGTACTCTGTAGTGTTTTTAATACTCGTTCGTAAAATTCCACAATATTAGTATCTTTAAGATTTCTATTAGTCTTTTATTTACAGGTAAATATGTATTGCTCTTCTCTTGGCATCTTCATATCGCCCTCAACCCTTTCCAAGGAGACAAAAAGCGGCGAGACAAGCTCCCCCACAAAGGTCACCCATGAAAATTGGCGGCATTTGTTTTCTTTTCCAGTCCTCAATTTTCTCAAGATTAGACGGAAAGATGTTTCAACAACGGATTGTTTTCCATGGCGAGACCACTCGTGAACCATCCAGACTATCGCCAGATTTGTAGCATAAAATAAAGTTGCAAAGTTACCCGCAAATCTAAGATGGGGTTACCAGAGATTTGATCGCTCCCATGACACAATGGGCACCATATCAAATCCGTTCATGTGTACACTCTCCAAGAATGCGCACTCCAATGCCGGGCCCTGGGAAGGAAAACCTATTAACCAGATCTTCGTGAGTTTTTAGGCGTCGACCAAGGTTTCTGACTTCGTCCTTGAATAGCTCGCGAAGTGGCTTAAGGAGCCGTAAGCCTTGATCATCCATCATGCGCTTGGGCAGATCCACAACGTTGTGATGGGTTTTTAGAGTCGCTGAAGGGCCTCTGAAGGAAAGAGATTCTATGACGTCCGGGTACAGCGTTCCATGGAGAAACCAAGAAACATTTTCAACGTTGGGAGTATTCTCAGCCTCCGTCTCAATCCTTATGGCTTCTTTTTCAAGCAAGTCGATCAAGGTTTCTCCAATAATCTTGCGCTTTTTCTGTGGCTCTGTGACGCCCTTGAGGTGGTTGAGGAAAAGCTTAGTACTATTAATTACTGTAAGAGTAACCCGACCCAGCCCCTATAATTTGGATTTTATTATTAATAACCTTGAAGCTTTCGAATCTGAGTGATCCCCCTCCCGATGAAGTCGCTTATTTTCCAGTTGGGCTACGATCCACAAATGTTTAATACTAAAGTTACGCAAGAGCTTACTTCCACGGGGAGTATGTTCAAGCTCGGGGTGAAATTGTACCCCGAAGATGGGCTTGGCCTGGTGGGCAATGCCGGGAAACGACCACAAAGCCCCCAGGCAGGCGGACGAGCTCGTTAAAGTGACTCATGTAGGCATGCACGGTCTCACCCAAACCAGCGAAGAGACGGTCAGTATGGCTGTCGACTTTGTGAATGGTGACGTCGGATTGGCCGTATTCTCGAGCTATTCCACGAGCAACGTTCTCAGAGTTGCTCTGCCAGGCAATTTCCTGGCAACCATAGCAGATGCCTAGAATAGGAACACCAAGCTCAAAGACAGCGGGGTCAACATGAGGCGAGCTCTCATCGTAAACGGAGGAGGGACCTCCAGATAAGACGATACCCTCGGGGTTCCAGGTTATATCGGCAAGTTTGGTAGTATAGGGCAGTATCTTAGTGTATATACTGAGAGCCCACAGGCGTCAGAGAATGAGGTGCGAGGTTTGGCTGCCAGAATCCAACACCACGTTGTGAGGCACCTCGACATTAGGATCAGTGGCCATCTTGTGTGATTGCTGTTATTCAAGGATGGGATCTAGAGCTCCTAGAAAGGGTAACTGTGGCACCACTGGGTCAGTGTGGCTAGTGAATCTACTCTTCAACGAAGCAAGACTAAATTGACAATCTAATAATAGCTCCATCAGGTAGGAATAGATTGGTCAATCGCCGAAAGTTTCATCAAGAAGAAATTGATTACAGGGATAGCTCAAGCTTGATGGAGTGAGTTTCACATGTTTGTGGCTTGCTGCGTATCTGGCGTTAGTCAGCCAATGAACCAACAATCGAGGCGCCCCAAAACATGAAGCTCCCGAATCGGGGAATTGTGGCGCCGCAGATGTGGCTAGTGAATCCGCCTTGTTATGTTGTTGCGCCAAGGTTTTTCTATTCGCTCCAGAATTTTGTTATCAACTCTCGGGATTCTGCATCTTGCCCATCCGACCAATCTCTGGCCCTCCAATCGCAGCCTCATTGGGCCTCCATCTTCGCCTCTCCTCCCTACAGCCCGCGTCGCGTCTTCGGCCGCTCTCCTCCTCTCACATCGTCGCCCATCATGGCGCCGCTCATCCTGCACAACGTCCCCGATGACGAATGCTACGTCGGCGAAGATGGCATCAAGCGGCCCTACGCCATGATCTATCCGTAAGCCATCATCGCATCTTCTCACCTCCTGTTTACAACACCACCAGCAAGCTGACGCTTCCATCTTTCTTCCAGACACGAAGGCACCACCAGAACACGGCGCAGCATCGCCGAAACAGGCTCTTTCGGCAAGTCAACAAGACGGTCTCGCTCTAAAACAGGGACTCCGGCTCGCGGTCGAGAGAATCCCACGCTCGCCGCCGCAGACAAGCTCTTCTACGACTGGGTGTCCAACCAATCCAATTCCAACCCCCCCTCCAACTCCAACCAGCGCAAGACAAACGCCGGCGCTGCTTCGGGCGCGCAGGAAGATGCCGTGCCCCAACGCGCCGCCGTCAAGTCCTCCCCTGTCGAGCTCATCCTGAGGGGCTACCGCTCATCGACACAGCAATACGCTGCCATCGCCCACTACGAGTCCCTCGCCGGCATCATCCTCGAAGACTATCCAAGAGAACCGCCGTCTTCTCAGAGACGATACAAGTCGGAGCTCCGCGATCCAGCATTCACGCGCCGCCGAAACCTCACCCCCGAAGAGCGCGCCCTAGTCAACCGCGCCGATGGTGGCGAGCACTGGGTCAAGGTCACGTTTGCCAGTGCAGAGGCCGGTAACGCTGCCGTGTACTCTAGCCCTCAGAGAATACTAGGACACCTCGTCTACGCCGAGCCCTACCGGGGTGTGGCTCCAGCTAAAGACGAAGCCTGCCCGGACATTGAGCAGCTGGAAGAAGGGCGATCAAAAAGCGTACCGAACTTTGCGCCCCCCAGCTTCGGTCATGGTCAACGGAAATCGGTGTCGGGTCTCCCCACGACGTTTAACAGCCGTCTTCTCGACCTGTCTCCGGCTGAATCTAGAGAGTCCAGCCACACCATGAACTCGACTACCCTCTCTCACGGCTCCAGCGCCACCATTACAGAACCCATACCTTTTGCGTTGACGTCCAGCATCGAACCCTTGGAAATCGACCAGGAAGATAGCATCTTCTGCAGACGCATCCCCACCGCGCGCAAGGCCCGTCTCCTCCCCGCCGAGCAAGCCCTCCTGCCCCAGCAGTCGGTCATGCAGCGCATCCTCAACGCGCTTCCCATCATCAAGTGGTTCTCGGGCAGCATGATTGGCAACGAGGTGCCTCGAACGGAAACGGGCGAATTCGACTGGAACCGCGCCAGCCTTTACTGGAAGGTTATCTGGTGGCTCGACGCTACGTTTAGTCTATTCAAGGGCGACGTGTACTGCATTGATAAAGACGATTAGATGGAAGGCAGATGATTGGCAAATAATACTGGGTTAATGAGCCAATACCCTATTTTTTTCTCCTTTATCTGTTTCTTTTTTTTCTCTCCTTTTGTGTTCGAAGCTGAGACGGTTATTCACGATACGAACTAAAGGGCCGGATGACTAGACATCCAAAACAGCGTTCGTCGAAACCGAAGCAGAGGTTCGCAGCATCAGCATCACAGGGTACCCAAATCATGACTCTTGTAGGCGTTTACTGGTGGATAAAAGGGAATGTACGTATGTGAGATGAAGCTCTTTTTTTTTTGTTTATTGTAAATGGAAATCCTTGGGGTCCATAGCTGTATCTTTCTCCTTCTTCTTTTTGGTGACAACCCTCTTGAATATGTGCTTTAGACATCTAGGTATGCAAGAAAACGAGAGAAGAATAAAAAAAAGGCTCTTTGCCCGCCTTCCCAAGAATCCATGATTCTTCAAAAAAACAAAAGGAAAAAAAGTAAGCAATCTGTCAAAATCATTTCGTGAAGCCATTCAATCATATAGACGGCGAGTAAAAAAAAAAAAAAAAACCAACACCAAACCATGCTAGTGACCAGTAAAGGAAAAAAGAGACCCCAGAAAGAAAAAGAAAAAGAAAACCCAAAAGAAAGGGGGGCGACTCTACATCCCAAGCATATGCCCCTATGTCGCCTCAGGAGAAAGCTCCAAATCGTTCATCGGATTGAGCGAGTCTCTGTCGTCAAAGTGGGAGTCAAACCTCGGCAGTCTTCCCCTTTCCTCTTCTGCTTCCTCCTCTTCATGCCTAGGTTCTTCTGCTTCATCCACGATTTCTCGCTCAGTCTGCTCCCCGCTGTCGGCATCCGAGAGCGTCTGGTTCCATACTTGCTCCAGCGGCTCCAACGGTTCCAACGGGTCTTCGTCTCTGTCGTGTATTTCATTGTCAACCTCGCCCGCTTCCTCCTCCTCCTTGATACCCTCTTGCATAATCGGAGGAAACAGGTCGTCCTGGAGAGTAAGAGACGACGGGCCTACAAGATTATCCAGCAAGTCATATGTCACGTCGGTATGTGCCCTCCGAATCGGCTGTGGAGAAAAGGGGCGGGCATTGCGCGGCTTGTTAAAGTCAGCCGAGAAGACGCTTTCAGAGTCACCGCTTGGTTTGGGGTCCGAGGTCATGGCGTTAAGCGCCTGATAACGATCCGCGTCCATCAGCAAACTCTCGCTTCGTGGTTCGGACGTCGTGTCGGCAAGGATGCTCTTCGGCGGCAGGATAGAGAAGAGCTTAACCCCCTCCCCACCGCTTGCACCAGCGCCGTGGATGCCATCATCCTCAATTGCAAACAAGTCCTGGCCCTTTTCCAGGACGTCATCCAGGCCACCGCCGCTCCAACCCTTTCTGGCCAGGCTTTCGAATATGTCCACTTCGGCTCGCACAAGACTACAACTAGCATCGACAATACGCGCGCTCGTCTCTTGGCTTTCCCTCAGCAGTGTTCTCGCATGGTCCCCATGTAGACTCGTCAACCCGTCGAGCTTATAAGTCAACTCGACGAGATGGGCTCTGAACCGGGCAACGTCCCGGCGCCTCTGCTTATGCAACTTTAGGCCTTCCTTTTCCAGGCGCTTAACCTCTCTGCTCTGTGCCTTGATGCTCTGCTGATACGTCTCCTCTTCGTCTCCAATGACGGTTTGCCACTTGTCGAGCTCGTGGAGCAGGGGTACCTCGAAAGAGCGGTAGACCGTCTCGGACAGAATCTGCTGGTGGTTTGCAATCAGATGATGCACTCCGGATGCAGACATGAGGGTATCCGCCGTGCATTGACCTTTGGTGGTGAAGCTGGCCGTCATATTGGTAGCCCCAGCGGGGCCAATGGGCTCTGACCGGGCCTCTTTAAGTCTCGCACATGCTTCCAACGCCGAGCCAAAGGTAGACGCAGCCGTGGATAGCGCAGCGAGAGCAACCCTATAGGCCTTGGCCGAAGTCAACAGGTCCGCATACGCCTCCTGGGAGCGCTCGAGGTCTGCGTTTGTTATGACAGCATGCAACGGGCGTGGGGGAGGCGGTAAGGGCAGGTTGTACTGAGACAGCGGCAGAGCAGTCGACGCGAGAGAGTAGACGGGAGACTCTGGCATCGGAGGCAGCTGGGAGGGCGTCGGACTGGATGGTCGAGAAACAATCGGCGTCGCCATGCCTTGATGAGATAAGAGATATCAAGTTCAAGTTCCAAATGTGAGAAAGCAGCCAATTCCGGTGATGCAGCGATAGGACTCGTTCGCGGCCGCGGCACGGATGGCAAGATGGGATGCTTGCTTCGCTGCCTTATTGATAAGAGCAGGCAAGACAGAGCTGGAGGCAAATAGATGGATAGCTGGAAGGGGAAAACAGCGCGGGCCAGCAGGAGCAGCAAAGTTCGTCAGACTGCAGACACGACGGGCGGACCAGGAGAGAAGACGGCCAGGCCGCAGCACATGGCAGAGTGCAGTGCAGTGCAGTGCAGTGCCGTGCTCGTACGAGATGAAGGCGGGAGTTGAGTCTGTACAAGTTATGGACGAAATGTATGTTCTGTTATGTTAGGTATCGGTCGGTATCAGGCCCGGGCTTTGAGGTTCCCTGCAGGCCCCCACAGGGCGGTAAGACGTGGAGGGGTCTGGCAGAAACAGCGGTTCGTTTTTAGCGACCGGAAAGCCTGCAGCGTCTCATTCTATAGCGTGATCAGTTGGCGCAATGCCCGCCGTGGCCATCCATAAGCCGCCACGCATGACACCTGACGTCAATGCAGAAAAAAAAAAGTTGAGCTGGTACATTAGCTGTGGTGGCCCTTATCGCGGCCGGGCTGTTATCCCTCTACTTGTGATGCGGGAAGCCTGGAAGAGAATGAATCGCTGCAGTGCACATGTTGCATACATCGCTCAACTATCATTTTAGGGGGGGTGACGTGGTTTTTTAGGCGTCCATGTTGTATGTATAAGCCACCTCACAAAACAAACGCCAGCTAACAAAACATGAACACTTTGATGCCTGCGGTGTTGCAATACGCTCGATGCCAGCAATTGATTGATATAAGCAGAGCGTACTTACTTCGTACATTATGTGTACGCATGTAATACAAGGCACCTCCAATAATACTCCGTTCGTACTACTACTACTACTAGACTACAATGTACTCCATAGCATATTGGATCTGTTCTTAGCAGCAGATGGAGCTGTCTGGTGTCAAAATATTAGCACATGCATGGAACACCGCGGCGGATGATCCCCCTCTTGGCCTCGAGTGGGACAGATGCCCTTGTTTCTTGCATTGGCCTAGGCGCCTACGATATTCACTAGTTCCCACTCTTTGATCCGTTGTCATTCTGCGGAGGCAATACGAAGCACGCACGTACATACTCGTACATACAGGCGGCGATTCAACTCGCCATGCCTCATCCCATTCATCCAACGTTCCCAAGACCCTCAGTAGACTCGGTCATCAAAACACTAGCAAATCATATTCCACGTCCAGCTAAGACAAGTTCTCGTCCATAAAGGCCTCTACATCGTCCAGCTCGTCCTCGCAAGTCGCATGACCCAGTCCGCTGCCCACCACCAACCCGTTAGCATGACCCCCGACGCCTTGAGCACTCAAATATACAGCCAGAAAGCAGTAAGTACCTATAGGAGGCAGTCTTCAGGGTCACTCACGGATATACATCCCAAGAGATGGAGAATCCCATCGCCGCCAACGCATCTCGGCTCTTCTTGGCCAACCGCAGCGTCACCATGCGGTCTTGTATGCCGTGGCCCAAAAAGACGGGCGTCTCCTTGCTTGCATCATCTTCGGCTACATATTCCTTAAAGTTTTCAATCAGCGGTATCCATGCCGAGAGCAGCACGACGCCGGCGAGAGTCTGTGGAAACGTCAGGCCGGCGAGAACAGCCACCACCCCGCCCTGCGAAAAGCCGGCAACGATGATGCGGTTTGCGGGTGTACCAGCGCGGATTTCATCGTTGATGAGGCTTTGGATGTAGTCTCTGCTGGCGAACATGCCGTCTACGTCTTCATCAGTCTGGAGTGCATCCGGAGAGCCATCGTAGACTTGCTGCAGCAACATTAACACCACGTAACGCAGTCCAGAGACGAGAGTGACCATACAATGTCAAACCACGCAGGCGTCGACACTCCCCCTTTCTGCAATGTCATCAGCCCTCGAATCACAAGCTTCTAGTGAAATAGAGCACTTACCGCGGTGAATGCAATCACGGGCGCATAGGGGAGCACAAATCTCACATGGTCGAGGTGGCCGTTGCCTCTCCAGTGCTCAACCGGCCCAAATAGTACGTCTGGTGAATCGCCTAAGCCGTGGATGAATATCACCGTTGCTGTGTGTTCAGCCAAGGCTTCGATGACGACAGGGTCTGTTCGAAGAGCTACTGATTTCCCCTTGTCCACCATGATTAGATGTTATAGATTAGCACAGTCTGAGTATCACCAGCACCGGATAAAGTGGTTTGGTGCTACGGGGTCGAGATAATGCAGATGGGTGACACAGATCCACGCAATGAGACCACGGCAAGAGGGGACGAGAGTCAGTAATGAACACATTGTCGAGATTGGTATTTCTCCCTGCTTTATACTGTATTTTCGGCGACAGCGCATCATCTAGATGTCTGAGACAACCTCGTGTCTGCTGTAACAACCGCCAGTCGTACGTTGCAAAACGAATGCAGGGTAACTGCCCTGCGACCAACCAAAACTCATATGCATGTCCCATTTCATGTTGATTAAATGGCACGTCATCCTTGCAGCTTTCATGTGCTGCTGGTTTAATTAATTCGAGGCTGGCTTCCTGTGAAGGAATGGCTGCTTTGTCTGAAACTTGATCTGCGTAGGTTCTTGGTGGTTATAGCACGTCAACGGGGGAGGCAAAGCATTTGAAGCAGAAGCACAAGGAAAAGAATAACTCCTCAATAATATCAACGGCAAATGAACCTAGAAGACCATGGTCATCAAGTATCTCTCTTTGAGCAGAATATAAAAAAGCACATCACATCCCAACATCAGCATAGGAGACCAGTAACTCGCAGGACCATTCTTTTCGTATCCCAAACCAGTCAATTAAACGTGCTATTGCGTCCCACTCATTCCCGGATTTAAAAAAAGAAATATACACAGCGATCATCCCATCGCTAACCCTCTCCGTCCCTCAATCGCATCAACCCGATGCTTTCCCAAAACGCCGAATATCAGACATTTATGCAGAGCCGACGAGGAGGCCGTTGAGAGGAATGTGTACTGCAGAGAAACCCACGTTAGCCAACAATGTTACCCCATGCAATCACACCTTGAAGCGGGTAATAAAATTGAAAAAAACGCACTCAGCTTGACGATGAATCCGACAGCGCCCATGACGCCGAAGCCGATGCCGACGGCCTGGCACAGCTTGAGAAACTCCTTCTGGTCGGCTAGAAAAAGCGGAAAGCAAGACGTGTTAGCTTGGGCGACGCAAATTGCAGAGGTGAGAGCAAGGACACGTGGTGGGAGGATGCGTACGCTTCTGGCAGCGGTTGATGAACTGCACGCCGTCCTTGAAGAACTCGCGGGGAACCTCGAGGATCTCCTCAACTTGATCGGCCATTGTGAAAGAGTTGGAAAGATGGGCGCGAAGATGCGATTGTTTGGATGCAATTGGGTGCGGTCGCGTGAAGTTGGGAGGAGGGAGAAGAAGTGATTGTGTCGCCAGCGGTTACAAGAGGATGCTATGTTTTAAGCACCCAATTTGGAGTATTAAAATGCCACCTCGCCTCAATGGGCGTGGGGACTGGGGAAAGTGTTTAGCCGATGTTCTGCCGGCTGCGAAGCTCTAGTCTAGAATGTGCCTTTTTGGGATGCTGGCAAGGCTGGGAATGGCGCCCTAGCTCGGCCAGATATCCACCATCCCATTGTGAAGGGAGCGAGTGGCTGGCTGGCTGGACACAATATTTTCTTATTCAGCATACAAAGTTTATGGACAGCTACTAAGAGATACTTGCATCTACTCTGGCTACTATTCTATACTACGTCTAAATCCATCTACTAGAATCTACTAGAAGATGGTAGCGATAGATATCTGTACTATCGGAAAATAGCTGGAATCTATGGGAATATCTCTGCTTTTAGATAGTAGATGATAGAATCATGTAGGAAATATTGCCTATTGGCCACGTTTCATGCAATCATGTTCAGTTGTCATTACACAGCTGGCACGTATATTTGAAGATGACTGGAGTGCTGGCTACAGTCCGTTGCCTGGATTTACCCAAGGTCTTCAAACTTTGCCAGGCCGTCGGCCTCGACTTTAGCCGGTTCATCGTCGAGCTGAAAGTGTGGCTTTTACTCCCCGTTACAGGCAGCCCTCTTAATAGCATCCTCATCGGTTCGGCATAAACTTCTAATCTTCGGCGTTTTGGGGAAAGCAGGGTCAAGGAGGGCACCCATTTATACACTCCGCAAGCATCTATTTAGGTTGTTAGCTTCCATTGGTATGTACTTTTCTTGATGCGAGTGGTAGGTTGATGACGATCAGTAGTACCAAGCTAACAACGTAGATGCTTGAGGAGTGTCCTGCAGCTCAGCATAGCGTTGTTTCTTCCCTGTGCTCCAGCTATCAAATAGAATGCTGCCACCGGAAGTTTAGTATCCCGTCGTAGCTGTATATATGTAGGACTGGAAAGATATAAATGCAATATCTAGAATATTGCCCCCGTTGTCATTGACTCCTAGGTTTCATCGACTACGCTGTCCATGCATATGCCAGAATGCCCACCGTCCCAGATTACTACCACCCTTGCGATGCCAGAAAATAACCAAAACCCCCATAAAAAACGCCCATGCAATGTTATATAAGCTCTATACATCTCACGATTTCTTACACTCGACCTCCCTGTGAACCAGCTTCCTCCACCGGTTTAACAATCCCCAGAGACCACCACTTATTCTTCTCTGAATCCTTGGGTCCGCAGCGCCAAGAACATGCCCGATAAAGAAAAGGCACTGCCATCTCCGTCTCGTCCTTGGTAAATGGTCTCGTAATCACATTCGTAGTGCCGCGGTCAGGCAGGGGAAGGACGGTGCCCCTACATATCTCTCGCCACTCAATCCACTCGAGCCGAGGCACTACGAGCGTCTTCCCACAGGTCGAGCAACTCACGCCGCCGTTGTCTCTCTGCCGAGAGGCGCGCTGCAGCAGCTTCTGGAGGTGTGAGAGCCCCTCTGGAATGTACGACTCGAGTTCCCGAAGCTGGCTGGTACGATAGCAGCTCTGCAGCGCCAGTTCGATTAAGCTGGGCACCACACTTGGCCGCGCCGTCTCTTTGAGAGGGGATTGTGACGATATGGAAGCGGGGAGACCAAACTGATCACTGCCTACTGCGACTGGCAGGTTTGTCACCGAGGATTCCTCGCCTGACGGGAGACGGAACTCTGAGAGAATTTGGCCATTGGAGTCGGAGATTTGCAGCGGAGATCGGCCGAGCCATCGAGTCAAATATCGTGGCACCTTGTCATCATCGAATAACCATTTGTATCTGATTGAGGCGTATGGTGCCGGTTGTAAGAGACTCTGGCCACCGTTCTCCCCGTCAGATTGAGTAGCTTGCTCTGGCTGTAGGAACGGGTTGACGAAGAGGGAAAGGTCACGAAATTTCCCTCCGACTTTGAATAAATCGAGAAACTCAGCGGGCAGATACTTGAATCGGTTCTGCGATATGTTGAGTTGCTCCAGGTTGCTCAGCTTCGAGATTGCCGAGGGAAGCTCTGTGAGCTGGTTTCCACGAAGACTTAGCACTGTGAGGTGATTGATGTCGAAAAGTGAGCTAGGTAATCGTGTCAAGCTGTTCGATGCTAAGAACAGCTTCAGCTCCGGCTCCCTCTGCACAAATGCAACATCTCTGGCGACAATCGGGATGCAAGCAATTTGACTGAGGCGTTTGACGGTATCATCCGACAACACCTCCAAGCCCATGGACATGAGATCCACGGTTTCATTGCCCGAGTCTAGGCACTCTTGAATCTTGCGCCGGGCGTCTACTTCTGCCTGAGACAGTTGAGGCACGGCCCGAGTTCCCAACTGTGGCAGCCTTGGCAATGCTGGGAGGTCCAAGCCCTCCATAAGGTCTTCGCCATCATCGGTGGCATCGCTCCCCAGAAAGACACCACTGTCAAAGTCTCTCTTCAAGTAGCGCTTTGTCTGAATGGGAGCAAGGGTGACATCGTCGGTGGAGGCGGAATCTGGCGATTCAAGCTGTTGCTGGAACCATGATCCAACGTAGCGCCTCTTGTGCCTCCCTTCCACATAATTGTCAAGCCCCGGGTCATCGTCACTAGAAAAGACAGCAGGGTCGCTGGAATTGAAATTCAAGGGCAACGAAGGATTCCCTTGCCGCGAACTAATACGGTGACGCTTGCGGGGCTGGTTGGAGAAGCTCTGGGATTGTTCATCCCACGAGACTGCAGGCAGTCGAGGCAACGACGGCTCTTCCGACATTTGACAGACAAGCACAGACGTGCCAAACAAACATTTACCTGAAACGTGTGAATTGCAATTCCAGTGCTTCAAATGCCGGAATATAACGACGTGACAGCGGTAGAAACGCGACCAACGCGTTCAAGGGGCTAGGCGTAAATAACTTGCAGCGCTACCACTGCAGCCCCACGCCGGCCTCCACCCTTGTCGCGTGCGTGGTGTATTTTGTGACAGCTCGAGATATCCTGGGCTGCCTGCCAGGCAGATGTTGCGTGACAAAAGCTGTTGTTCTCTCTGCCCTATACTCGATGTTGCCATTTCTCACTGTACCGTTCCTTGTGGTGCTTTCATCATCAGAGCCAGCATCTCCATGTTATACGTCCATAGCATTTGATTTTTTTTTTTTTTTTTTTTAGCTTTTGCCAGTAAGCCCAGATTTGGCCGTAGTTGCATCGGCCTCCCTAAGAATCCTAGGCCCCCGCATTTTTATCGGTTGGAGCAGAGACCCCCTTTCGTGGCCATCATAAGCTACCGGGGTGTCAGAGAAAACCGGTATGGATACCAGTCGGCGAATGTCCAGCTCTCTCTTGGTGACCTAAACTTCACAACTGGGTCACATCTTGGGCTTTGGGGCTGGTGCAGAGCTGCGGGTGGCATTAGATCGAGACTTTGCGTGGGCTGCAGTTTGATGCGGATGCTGACTTGGGCAGAGATTGATTTCTATATAGCCCTGGCTCAGTCCCAATCGTCGTCGTCGCTGTCAACCCGCGCTCTCCCAGCATTGCTTGTTTTGATGGTCTTGCTGGCCAATCGCTCCTCTTCAGCATCCTCCGCTGCTCTCCTCCTCTTGACCACTCGCATATCGGAATCTGGCACAGCACCAACTTCAACAAGCAGGTCGTCAATCTGTCTCATGTTGGTCCGAGCACCAGCCAGGGTCATGAGGGTCACAATCTGCTTTACAATGTCTCCCTTATTGTACACCAATATTGTAGGGCAGTTTCGGTCCGGGTAGTTTTCAATGGCCTGGCTTGCTCGAATTTCGCAAAACTTGATGTCGCCGTACTCCTTTGCAGCTTGCCTCCAGAGCTCTGATAGAACCCTTGATTCCACATTGCCTGCGATGGATGTGAGGTTGACGAAGACGGGGCCGTTATTGGAAGCCTCCGTGATTTCACGCTGGTAGTCGGGCTTGGATATGGGGTATACGGAGCCGTGGATGGACTTCTTCTGTAGTTTGCTCAGTTCTGCCATGCGCTTCTGGCGATACTGTTCCAGAAAGTCGTCATCTTCTTCGTCTTCTAGCTCGTCGAGCTCGTCCAAGTCTTTCCCCTCCAGTCGGTTCTCGTGCGCAAGTCTCCTGGCCTCGAGGATGGCCTCTTCAATCATAGGAGTCGGACTGGGTGGCTTCTCGGGGATAACGCCATGTTTGCGCAGAATGTCATTCCTATGGAGGGGTTAGATTGCTGCGCATCGACCATCGCGGGGCAGCTTACCATTCAGTATCAGCGTTGGGGTCGTCGATTGGAACCGCGATTCTTTGCTCTGAAGGAGCGGCCATGGTGAGGCTTTAGTCGAATGCGAAGATTGGAGTAACTGTGCAGAGAGGCCGAGAGCTGAGAGAAACGTCAAGTAACGAAACGGCACAGTTGCATGAAGCAAAGTAGCTCCAGCTCCGTTGACAGCTGGCGTCGTGGGGGGCCGCGCAAATCTCCAGGCAGACAAAATAAGGAAGCCATCTTTTTTGGCTGCCTTGGACACAAAGATGACCTAATAGCTCTGATTCTGCACAAAGGCGGTGCATAAAATCCCCATATTTCCTTAGTCGCGGATTCACAATTTTTAGCGCAATGGAGCTTCTCGAGCTCCGCCCAATCGTAAGGAGATACGGGGTACAACACAGGGACAAAAACTTCATCACGTGCTGGTGGGCGGCCAAACCCTATCACGCTATTCCGCTTTGGAGAAAAAAATCCTGTTGCCAGCGAACGAGATTCGCCCCCTCAATGTGCACCGAACTTTTCCTCGCTTAACTCCTCTCACTCCAGCTTGCGAGCCTCAAATCGTTTGCCAGATTTCGTCAAGACCCTCGACCCTCGCAAGACACTCTACGGCAAATTTTTCTCGAGACAATCAGACAAGATGGTGAGCGACAACCTAGCCTTTTTCTGCCTTTGGGAGGATGGATCGATGCCGATGCGTGGGAATACCGGGATGGCGGAAGGATACTCGTCGCCTGACGACGAAGGGCATCAAACTTTTTTTTCGGGGCCAAACCGCTGAAGGACGACTCGGATTGAATTGCATCGATGGCATACTTGGGGAATGGGGATACAACACGTCAAAGGGAAACAGAATTGCTGACCGGATATTGTCATAGGTGCTCGCTGTTGACCTTCTCAACCCTTCAGCGGCCTCTGAGGCCAAGAAGCACAAGCTCAAGGTACGAACCGAATCGAAGCCATCACGAATGACACCATCGTACATGTGCATGGGTTTCTAACGTTGAATTCGTCTGTCTAGACCCTTGTTCCTCAGCCCCGATCCTTCTTCATGGACGTCAAGTGCCCCGGCTGCTTCACCATCACCACCGTCTTCTCTCACGCCCAGACCGTTGTCATCTGCCAGGGATGCACCACCGTCCTGTGCCAGCCTACCGGTGGTAAGGCCAGATTAACCGAGGGCTGCTCTTTCCGAAGAAAGTAAACTGCCCGCGGGGCGGCTTTCTTTCCTTGGGTACTGATGACTCTTATGGTTATATGGTGGTGATCATCTCGGATCTGCAAAACAAAACATCATCGACGTGGGGGATAGACAATATACCTTGCGAAAATAATCAATCTCTTTGCAGATAGAAGATGGAACACCCAACACAGGGGCGTTTGGGGGTCTCCGGATATCTTGCATGGCACATCATTCTTCTCGTTTTTCCGTTTACGCGCCTTGTACCACAGAGTCGTTTCTTGAGGCAGGAACAAAAAAAATAAAGCACTGCATGGGTGTTCGGCTGGAGAAAGCATTCACTTGAGTGTCTAGATGGATCTTTGATGGACTGACTAGGCGCGATGACGTGGAGCCGCTGATTTGAGGATCGCTTCATACCCGGAGTGCAGTGGGTAGTGGAGGATAGCACTGTGCTTTTGCGAAATTCAAAGGTTTCCACGAATATTGTCGCCTTGTCGCCACCTGTGATGCCGTGATGTGTTGTATGAGGCTGAACTATGCTGAAATGCCCATCCGCTGCCCAAGTCTTGAGCTGCTGCTTTCGAAGAGGTCGAATGAACCCGGCTGCGTAATTGTAATCACGGATTGCGCATGATATGGGAAGGGACCGTCTTTATAAATCTATATTCGCTCGACGGATCGATTGTGCTTTTGTTTCTAATTAAAGCAAATTTGTATTTATACGGCGTTGCTGTCATAAAGCTCATTAATGTCCACTGTAACTGCTTTCGGAAATACTGCAATGAAGACGACGGCAACTAGTTTAGTATCAATGCAGCCAACCTAGTGATGCAACATTGTTTGTGATATTTTGTGAAGCTCCTGTAAATTAAGATGAGTTATACTAATAGAAACCCACTGAATACGGGTAATTGTAGTACAATCCTTGGGCTAGTTGTACATCTTCCCATTGTGGCTTTCTGAGTCAGTCAAGGTGGTGAGATGAGCATTTAGACATCATCCGCGTGAAACACATCTTGTCAGTGTACTTCTCCAACAATTGCATACCATGTCGGATATGTATTGAGATAGGAGCAGCTGCACACTAGGCTACCGTATAGACCAATCGGCATACAGGTTTGCTGGGCGGCATCCTGGATTGGTTATTCAGCCAGTGTCCATAGTAGCTCAGCATATATACCCCGTACACTCAAGCGGTCTGCAAACAACCAGGGACCGCAAAATGAATACGCGCAGACATGAAGACAATGAGCTCGCCATTCTAGACGAGTTTAGTGTGGCGGGTATGTGCGGATTGTCTATTTCCGTATGCTGGTCATTTTTTGGTTTCCTCCTTTCTTTTGCAGACCTCTTGACAACCACCACGTAGCAGACACTTGTATGGGACACAAGAAGAGGGTATTGATAGCAGCAGATACGAGGAGAATTTGTTGATAAAAGCAGATAGGTTAAACCAATCAGACGAGAATTGCTTCCTCTGCATGTACAACAGTTGAACTGCACGTTGTACTTGGGGTGGGGGATCGCCAAGTCGGAGTGCTGAGCAGCCACTCCCACAGTAAGCCCAATAAGCGGTATGAGTAGGATCTTTAATCTTACGACCCAACTCTAATGTTGCTCAGCATGCGTCATGAGACATCGCTTTTATTACCTAGGCAGGCAGTGGAACCAAAGTTGATAATCGAGACATGTTTATGAGGATCTTAAACTCTGTTCTCCTTACTCCATCCTCAGGTACAAACACTTTCCCACTTCAACCTCTGCAGCCCCAGCGCCTCGACTAGATACCTCTACATCTACCTATCTACCTTACTTTTTCGGCATGTATAGAAACAACGACGGCAAATTGTGTGGCCCAGATAGACAGCCACTTACCGGAACAACACGGGACGAGCTTCTCTGGTTCTTACGCACAGAACATGAGGGACAGCACCGGGCCAATATTCCGTATTCTGCCACCACCTACGCCTACAGGCCATCAGTCCGCATTGTCGCCGCCAGTGGCTTTCCAGAAATACCCATTTACCATTGGATAGATACCTGTAACAAGTCAGTGCCCGTCTATATTATACCCGGCCGACGGTGGCTGCTCCTCCGCGTGGTTCTTCACAACTACATCTACCGACGTTGGTTCCGTCCATATCGAAGCGAAATCGACCATGGACGCTTTATCTGCAAATTTATATATCCACACCATTTACCTGACGAACCCACGATTTCCATGTTGACGATTCGTGATATCATCTCTCTTAATCAAGCCATCTGCAACCAATTTGAGGCACAGCGCAGTAGCTATGCTGAAGAGCGGTGTTCAGATACCAGATGGGTCGAAAGCGACTATATCGAGGGCAGTCTGGATCATCACATTCTTCAACCTTTATTTCAGGCCTTGCTCATTGTTGTATCTGGCGAGAAATACAACAAGGAAACATCCGAGACCGTCGGGGATCTTCCGGTGTACTTGGTTCGCACAGGCGTGGAGGAAGGACTCAGCGCACCCATCTCTTTTGAGTCTATATCAACCAAGATTATCAGCCACCTGAAGCCCGGACGTGTTGTCCAAGTTACGGCGGAGACTGCCATTGATTTTGTCAAGGGATTGGAGGCTAGAGAGGCTGCTGCGTTTGGGTTGCGGCCTGACCCGGTAACCGATTGGGAACCACCAGCGCATATGATTGAAGATTGGAAGCTGACGGGAGAGACTGAACCGCTGGCTGGACCAAATTCTCAGTGGGTGAATACTGAGAAGCATCCGAACTGGACTGGGAGTGGCGAACGAAATGACTCTGGGCTCATGACTCGGTTTGAAGAACAGGCATTTAGGTTGGAAGCTATGAGAGAGGCTGGGATGTAGGCAGAGTACAAAGCGTGGTGAATTTACTGCCAGCTACCATACTGCATGGGATGGGGTTGGTGTTGCCGTCATGACAGGCCATGTCCTTTGCCAGCTCGGTCTTGATGTTGGTGAGAGGAGCCATGGTTCTCCTGTAAATGATGAGAGGATTTTGTTTAGCTTATGACAGCATGTTCACAAGTGTTTGCCGTAGTATATGTAATGTTAATAGTATTATAAAATAAACCAATTTGAGAACCTAGTAGCAGCATTATGGCGTCGGGTAGATTGTCTTGATAAAGTAGCGTCAGTGTAGCAATGTGAAGGTTTCTAACAAGATGGCATGTAGAGTGGCGCAAGTATATCCATTTGGGTTTCCTAGCTGAACTATGATTGAGGCGAAACTTTACATTTTCATTCAGGAATATTTCAAAAACCTTGTATCACATATTCACTTTGAGCAATGAGTATCTCGCCTTCAATCAACCATGATAACGACGCCATCGTCAACTTACAATTGAAATTCCACTTAGTAAAAGAAAACCACTTAACGCGAAACCGTCGCGCCAGACGCGCCTCAAAACCTAAAGCAGCCCCCCCACTGCACTCATCTGGCCCAATCTCGTCACCCCGGGCTATCCCAGCCTCCATTTGCCCAAAAACCTTGGGCTTACCAACTTTTTTGCCCGGCCAACGCAAATCTCGCATCCCCCATCCTTTTTTCCTTTTTTTCCTTTTCCTCTTCTTTTTTTCCTTTGTAACGAGCATAAAAACCGCTCTCCCCTCCTCTTTTCATTTTTGTGCAACCCTGCTTGAACAATCCCTCGACGCAATCGGAAAGCTTTCATTCGGCCGGAATCCGGGAACAGGGGCGAGACATTCCTGACGAAAGAGACCCTTGTCTTGCAGTTCAAGAAAAAAGACAATCGCAACGTCATCTGACCCATTGCGGCTCTGATTGACCATCTGCCCCCACGAATATAACCTCTCTTTCTTGCCGCTTTTGCTGCTTCATCCTCATCACAACTTACCCTCATCGTCACTCGTCCTCGCCTCCATCATGTCGAGTCCCCGAGCCAAGCGCCAATTCGCCGGCGCAGCAGCCGATCCCGCCCAGCGCCAAATCACCTCCTTCTTCACCGGATACCCCAACAACACCAGCAATCCCGCAGCTACCCAGCCCGCGCTGCGGCCCGAATTGCCCGCCAACGTCCAGGCGAACCTCCTCAGCGTCGGCATGCGGGTGCGCAAGTCCGTGCCTGAAGGCTACAAGACCATCGACCTCGCCAAAGCCAGCTCTTCCCCGAACGGCGTTGCGATCAAGGATTTGCGGCGGTCGGCGGTAATGGCAAAGCAAGTCTCGAACGAGCTGCTGCCGTTCTGCGGAATCAACAAGGTTGGCGGGATGGATACCCAGCCTGCATCTCATTTCATGGATGAGGATGTCCCTGCTCTGGACAACATTCCCGAGCTCACCATGTCGCAAGAGAGCATGGACAGCGTCGTTGATAGCGAATCGTCTCGAAAGCGAGCCTTCTATGATGAAAATCAGTGGGAGATCGAGGGAGCCGAGGCAGATTACCGACAGTTCCATTGGGACGACAGCAGGCCAATTGCTGTCCCGCACTCTCGAATCAAGAAGGCGCTTGCGCCCAGGGATTTAGAAGAGAAAAAGATGGCCGTGGATGGCAATGAGGATGAAGATTTTCCAGATGCCGATTTCTTGGTCTAAGCTTCGGAGCCATGACTTGGACAACGTCGTGGACATGATATCTCTGGGCATCGATCTCCCGGATTGTGTAACTGTATGGGATGGAACATTGGCGCACTGGCGTTTATCGGGATACAGCTCAACCAGCTGCTTGTGACCCTAGGAGATGGAGGCTATCTTATTATTACTATTGTTTGTTTTTACATGGGTCGATCAACAAAGAACGGCCATGGCGTTTTGTCATATTGGGGTATATTGTCATTATTATGGAGGGCTATACAGAATACTTAGGTAGCTATTACCATAGGGCGGCAGATGTATCATCAAGTGTGCCTATTAAATGCAAGGAATTCACAAACCTGCTACAGTTACATACCCACAAATGGCTCTCGAAATTCGAGTAGGTCTCGCTGCCCATAAAACTCACCGGCAACTGTGAGGATCATGGTGAGCGTGGCTCTCATATTCATCCTTGCATTTCTTCGTTTTTCTTCTTCGAGGCGCTCATGCTCGCTCTCGGCGAGTCTTGCTAGAAGCTTCTGCTTGGCCTCTTCTAGAGCTGCTTCGTCGTCTGCTTGTTCGGTTATCTCACCCTCATCGGCACTGGAGTCGGAACCGGTATCCATTGCTACGTCCTCATCTTCGCTGCCGTCGTTGGCCTTTGCAATCTCTCCATCGTCGATAATTTCGCCATCCTTTTCCGCGGGTGTCTTGACTTCATCCTTGGGGATAGCGATAGAGGCTGGTGGAAAATCCAGGATGCCAGCTTCGGTGTCAGGTGGGCCATTTGCCGTGGCATCGACCTGTGGAACATCAAAATCTTCGTCTCCCTCTTCAACCGCTTCTGCCACAACTTCTTCGTCGCTGCTGCTAGCGTCGACATTGTCATTGACTCCAAATCCATCTTCTGCAAGTTCATCTCGTAGAGCGGCCATCTCCGCCAAGCTTCTCCCTAGGAGCACTGCTCGTCGTCCTAAATCACGAATCCATCCTATTTCCGTGTGGTTGAGCTCCCCCACGTCAGGAAGCCTGGCCAGCAATGCCCAGAGCCAGTGGCTCGTCCGTTGAGGGATGCTGTGTCCGCTCTGAAGAAATTTGCCGCCAATCATGACACGGAGAATCTTAAGCACCGTGTCTTTGGACATGAGCGCGACTTGGATAGGATGGGGTTCGGTGGTATTCAGGAGGCGCGTCCATAACTTTGTTGTAGAAGGCGAAAAGGACGTGGCCTCTGTGGCCTGGGAGCGTGACAATCGGCTTGCAGCATTGTCGGGCAGTTCTGAGTGAAGGATATCGCGCGTGCGGTAGTACTGACTCAATATAGAGGAAAAGTATGCCTCATTGACAGCCTTTTGAATAATTTCAGGGTTCTCTTCGCCAGGTTCGTCATCTTGGTCGCTATCGACTCCCCACCCTTCTGAGATGCCTATGTAGGCACCGTCCTCGTAAAAGCCTTTCGGCTTAGGTGCGGTAAAAACGTCGATGGCATCGGGGTTCGGATCCAGCTCGCCCTCTTCCTCTGACTCGTCTTCTCGCTTTCGATCAAACCCAGGAGGAAGCTGTGGCCCAATTTGGACTGGAGGTGCGACTAGAAGATGCGGTATAGAAGAAGCTTGTTTTCTAGAGTACTCACCATATCAGTAAATGCGGTCTGAGGTACGGAAATTGTTCAGCAGATGAAATCTCGAGCTAGCCGTGAGGCTGCAGAAAGGAGATGGTCTCTTACCTCACAGACATCAGGTATGCCATGGCATCGGAGTCATCCTCAAACTCCGACTCTTCTCCTGCTGGAATCGTCGTCGCATTCTCGCTGCTGGAAAACACATATTTCTGCCCCCACGTCGGATCGATGCCCGAGTTCTGATGCTGGCGCGTCTTGGAGCTGTTTGGCTTTGCGCGTTTCGTCTGCGGCTCTGGCGTCTCGCCGTCTGTCTCCTCCATTTCGCGCTTGGCCGACATGATGACTACCGATGAGCAATATTCGAGAGCAGCATCGGCGGCAGTTTCAGGTATCAAAGACAAGGGTATGTGCTGCTGGTGTCGAATGTGTCCAAATGATGTGGCCAAGATGAAGATGGACGGAATGTGAAAAAGCACAGCTGGAGAAATAAAGTAGCCCAGAATTTACAGAGCAGAGGCTAGTGCCTGGCACTAACGGTGGGGAGCTTCCCTGGCACTTGAACCCCACCAAACCCACTAACAAGATGCCGCTACTAACAGTCATATCAGTGCACTTATTTTCGGCCTTGCTCCAAAATCTTGCAACTCTCTGACGGCGTTTTTTGATGGTTTGAATTCAACAATGACGGCGGCTGTTGTTCGCCGTGGTGCTCTGGCAAGGACGAAATGGCATCTGAACCATAGCAGGTCCATTGGCCAACTGCCTTTGCGGCGCTCACAGAGCACCTTTAACCACTTTGTGGCAAGCAGTTAGTCTCTGCATGGATATGCAAAGCCTCAACTCTGACTGACAAGATCGCGAATACAGCCAAGCTACAGCCAAGCTCTGCACCTCCGACACCAACATCCGATGCAAAACCTTTCCGACTAGCCGTCAAAGACAACATTGCCACGGAGAAGTTCCCGACGCAATGCGCCTCCGGAGTCCTAGGCCAGCATGCCTCTCCCTTTGAGGCCACCATTGTTCGCCAACTTCGAGCACGCGGAGCCTCTGTCGTTGGGAAGACGAACATGGACGAATTTGGAATGGGGTCACATTCTGTAAACTCTGTCCATGGGCCGGTCCGAAATCCCCTGGCACCATCTGGCGAGGATGTGTCTGCTGGAGGAAGTTCTGGAGGCAGTGCGGTCGCAGTTGCTCTTGACGACGCAGACATTGCGCTTGGCACAGACACTGGCGGCTCAGTCAGGTTGCCGGCTGCCTATACTGGTATTGTTGGGTATAAGCCAAGTTACGGCATGCTCTCGAGATTCGGCGTTGTTCCGTACGCGAATTCACTAGACACCGTTGGCTTACTGGCACGAAATGTCGAGTCTATCCAGCAACTGGTATTTGATACGAGGCTGTATGAAGAACATGACCCCAACGATCCCACATCATTGAGTGTCGAGACCCGTCAGCGCTGTTCAAAAGCTGCGCCAGCAACTCTACCAAACCTATCCCAGCTTACCATTGGCATACCCGTCGAATACAACATCGACGAGCTGGACCCCGCGATACGTGACGCCTGGGCTGCTACCGCTTCAGCATTAGAGTCACAAGGTGCTCGTATAGTTCCTGTGTCTCTTCCTTCAACGAAGGAGGCCCTTTGCGCATACTATATTCTCGCCCCCGCTGAGGCGTCATCTAACCTGGCAAAGTATGATGGTGTACGATATGGCATCCGTGGCCCTGAAGGAGATGCAGCTGGAGAGACTCTGTACTCTGAAGCTCGGGGCGCTGGTTTCGGTGCCGAAGTCAAACGCCGAATCCTCCTGGGAACCTACAGTCTTAGCTCTGAAGCCATGGACAACTATTTCATCCAAGCCCAGAAGATACGACGGCTTATTCAACAAGACTTTGACAGAGTTTTCAAGCTGGATAACCCGCTTTACGAACCAAGGCAGTTTGATCTGAGCGAAATGTCTGCCGACACTACCCTGGAAGACAAGCAAGGTCCTGTCCAGGTGGATTTCTTGCTGTCACCAACTGCGCCAACATACCCACCCAAGTTGAGCGACATTATGAAACGAAGCAGTATTGACGCTTACATGAACGATGTTCTTACTGTACCGGCCAGTCTTGCCGGCCTACCTGCCGTCAGCGTTCCGGTCAAGATCGACCAGAGCCACCAGTTTCCCACTGGACTTCAGTTGATTGCCCAATATTGGGATGATAGGAGACTATTGACATTGGCAGACAAGATGGTAAAGTTGATGGCGACGTGAAGAGTAACTCAGCATATATAAAATTTTGTATACCCTTTGAATGGGGAAGGGAGGGATGTCGCTAGATTTGGCTTGTACTATATACTTGATGACTTGATGAATCATCTACATTGTTATTTGTTTGAGTGAGACCAGCTGCTATATACCAATTAGCTCATCTTGGGTATCCTCTCAATCTCATAGCTGTCTCTGAAACAAGTCGAGATTGCTCGTATTCTTGTCCGTATAATTTCGAAGCGCTTATTAGCACGTGAAATATCCAGGTAGAGGCCGCCTCGTTTTGAACCATTTGGTATATGGGTTCTAGGAGGGTTTATTGTAAGCACATGATTTGGCCGTATCCTCCTTCACGTATAGTGGTGAAGACTTTGCTTAGCCCGATCCTGAACTGGATCGGACAGAGGTCGGATTGGTGTTTGAGTCGTAGTGCTTCGCTGAGCCATCAACGCTTGGACATAGAGCTCAAGGCGATCTGCTACGGCTTCTCCGGTCGTCATCCCTGTCAACTTCCATCTCCCCATCTGATATTTCACCAGATTCCTCCCTCTCCCCATTTGCTCTCTCGTCGTCATTCTCATTCTCGTCCTCTTCCAGCAAATCTTCAAGGTCTCCCAACGGGCTAACCCTGGGTTCCAGGATTTCCAAATCTTCCAACGTTTCTCTCTTCGGCATCTTCCACAGACTCGTCGCACACACTCGATCCTTTGTGAGCAAGTCATCCACAAACTCATCCACAAAAGTAAGCGACGTGCCCGCCCTCGCCCTGCGCCTCAATTTCCGTCGATCCTCCAGAAACGGCTCCAGCGTTTGGTATACGTCCTTTGGCTGCCTCGTCAACCGCACGTAGAAGCACGCCAGCGCACGCAAGTACTTGAAGTGCTCCCCCCCATAAGACAGGTACTCGTTCAGAATCGCATCGCTGGGGGCAAGCTCGAGCAGCTTGAACGCCAGACACAGGAAAGGGCTCGGTTTCTGCGAGGCGCCGTGCGTTCCTCCGATGAAATTGACGTGCTCCACGACGCGGTCGATAATGTCGGCTTCGTTGAGGGCGAAGCACTGCTCCTTGTAAAAGTACGAGTCGACAATGCGGTCCTTGACGGCCTTTTCCATGATTGTCGCGGGATTGAGACCGTTTGGCGCCAGGGCGGCGGAGGAGCCGCGGTCGTCGAGGAAGCGCCGCGCATCGGCCTGGACGGTATCGTTTTTGAATTTCGACATTGTTGGAGGAATTGCAGGAGAGGAAGCAATTTTGGGAATTCGAAGCGATGACGTCGAGATGGATTTCGCAATTGCAGCTCGAGTCGCGTTTGAAAGCGCCTAGATTTCGTGCGATAAGATTGTTGCTGGGTCAACAGGCGTCGGGCGCAACCTTGCCGATCATTGATCCTTGTAGGAGCGAGATCCCGTCTTTTGTGTATCCAAACTAATCCATGACGTGAATGGCATCAAACAAAACGAGGCGTCATCTCGTGTTTGCATCAAATTTTTGTTTCTAGGTTACACGAAATATACATAATTTTTTGGTCGTCTTTTTTTCGCTTCAATATGCGGCGTGTTCTCCTCACCTCGAGTCAAGTGTCCATGCTGGCCACGGCCTCTATGAGTAAGGCTGCAACTTCTCCCCCACAAACATTCCAAGTAAAAAAGGGCGAATTGGTTTCTAATTCTCGATCACGCACAGTTCTTCTTTGTGCAAGCGCTCTCTTTCTCAGTGGTTACGCCATTCAGCAGCGGACTCTGCGGGAGCTGCGAGCAGCTATCCGGCCGCGCCAGTCTCCCAAGGCGCATCTACCCGAAGAGTTCAGGGGAGCCCTCGCGGATCTGGATGAAGGCTCGCTGCTCGTGATTGAAACAGAGGCGCAACGATGGTCTAGGGAAGCTCGAGAATTGAACCCCCAGATCAAGGTATCGGATGCAGAGATTCAGGTGGAGGAGACTCCGGTAGAGTCTAAGCCGGAGCCGGAGCCGGAGCAGAAAGAGGAGGAACACAAGGAACAGAGCGTTGCCGTGCCTGATGGCGAACCGACAAAGGAGCAACTGGCAATGCTTGCAACAATCCAGAAGAGCGTCGCGGACAAGTCCTGGGCTGTGGAACACCCTGATCCGCTGGCTAAGAACAAGGCTCCGATTTCAGCAGCAGAGCGCCGCAAGTTGATCAAGGATGAGATCAAGAGGCTGGCCCAGTCAGACAGGCCCGTCTACTACCAGAGGAGGCTGTGGTGAAGTGGTTTATGATTTTGGCACAGTCATGGTGTTTTTTGATAGCATTTTGGGCGGGTATTTCCTTGGATGGGTTTTTGGACATATGAGGAACACGATATAAGGCGACATGAACATTTATGGAGGAACAACTTACATATACGAATTGGGTACATGGTGGATCTTGTGATATTTATCTCAATACATTCATTTTCTTTGATCCTGAATGATCTATTCTACCTATACTCTCTCCACCTCTGTTACCACTTGTACGGTAAGCATCCACCCAACGCATGAGTCAAGGCAAGTATTCCAAAACATAAGACCATACCCAGAAGTTGCAATGCACCTTTTCGGGCCCCATTTTGCGAATCTAACATGCTTCTACGGGCGGATATTTACTAGTCGCTTTGGAACGACTCCAAGATGCGGGCGTAAGCCCCCCTCTTGTGAGACGTTATCTATAAGAGCTAGCAATCCTTCAGACCTCCGCTCGTCATCTATTGCTTTACAGACTTTGATTTCAACAATCACAAAATTCGCATCTGAGTATCATTGCGTTGTATTTCAATTATGCCACTTCCTCATGAGCCAATTACCATCCATGGCGGCTGCAACTGCGGTGCCGTGAGATATCGCATCAACGTCCCCTCCTTTGAGCAACGCCCGATTCATTTTGTTCACGCACCGGAAGAGGCTTCAGACCCAACAACGCCACGTCTGCCGCTCATTGGCATCTGCCATTGTAACGACTGTCGATCTGCCACGGGCTCAATTCTGCCGACGTGGTGCCTCACGCCGCAGGAAATGTTTACCATCTCATGTTTACCCAAGAAGGAGGTCGATGAGACGGCCATGCAGAGCCTCTCTCTTGCACCGCATGATGCGACGGGTGATTCTCAGAGACCGCCATATGTGCCGGCTCATGGCATCTTATCAGGTGTTGAATCTACCTCTGGAACATGGCTTCGTGTATTCTGCTCGACAAATAAAAAAATCGAGGGTTGGGACGTGGACAAGCGGATATACAGGTCCTTCTGCGGGCGGTGCGGCACTAACATTGCCTACCTCATCTATCCCATGCCGTTCAAGTTCAGAGACATGAGTGACGTTGTAGTTGGCACGGTCGATCGTGCGGATATGGAGCAGCCGTGGATGCAGCCGGAGAGGCAGCTGTGGCACAACTGGGGCGTTCCTTGGATTAAGGATGTGGTTAATGATATGGACGGGCCGATTCACCCCTCATTTTCAACGGCAGAATTTATACGAAGGTAAATTCATTCATGAACTATTTTATTGGGTTGTTTTGTTTCTTTCCAATAGATATTTACTGTAGAAAGCTATTGCTGCTTGAGAGAGTTATCGCTATAGAGGCATCTATCGCTACTGGGGATATATATCACTACTAGAGTAAGCTATCAATGTTTTTTTTTATATTTCAGTTTGAGCAAAACTCTGTACATATATTCTGCTACAACCTGTTGTAAGCTAGTCTAAAAGTGAAAAGCTCCAAGTCTGTTCGGCGAGACTCTGTATTCCGCTTTCGTCAACTTGACGAAACCTGCTCGCTCTTGTTCCGAATCAGTAAATGTACTTGGAAAAAAAGTATTCTTTGTCTGAAGAATTCGAATTGGATCTTTTGTTCTACCCTCTGTTTTGTAATGTTGAATCAATGAAGGGAGAAAAACCTCATATCAGATCATCTGATGGCAGGGTTCAAGGTAACGGGAAATAATTACATCTACTCAACCACCGATCAAGATTGCTCATTCAAAATGTCAACATGTCTGTATAATCATCATTTGTTGTATTCATAATCGATTAATTTGCGTCTAAAACAATCAACGATTTATATACAACGCCACATGCGCCGCAAGTACCTGACATGTGTAACCTTATCCACATTCCAAGGCACCTGTCGACACTTAAAAAGGCTCTCCCTCTTCTTCATCGTATTGCCATTGTAAATCTCTTTGTTTGAGTATTTTCTTTGCTCTCGCAATGTCGACCGTAGCCCAAGATGTAGGCGACACCGCATGCAGCGATGAAGAGAAACGTGGAGCGGATCTCAAAGTCGCTGCTGCTGATAGCACCGAGGTACAACTGCAGGATGATCCTCAGATTGACCCTCAACTGAGAAGGCTAGAGCTCCTTAAACAACGGTATGGAGTGAGTCAAGGATTTCTAGTTCTCATCTCAAGACGGCAATTGCTTACTTCCACCTAGAGCACTTGGGATAGCCCGGATGATCCCAACGATCCGTACAATTGGCCTTCTACACGCAAGGTCCTAACAGGCATCATTTTCTCCATGTCTCAGCTTATAACGCTCATGACCGCCAGCATCATCTCGGCAGCGCTGAACGACATCTCATCCGACTTGCACATTGGCATGTCGTCAGCGCAAATGATATTCTCGACCTATTTCCTCGGCATCGCATTTGGGCCTTTCGTCGTTGCTGCCATCTCCGAAATGCACGGCCGGAAATGGATCTGGGTAGTTGGGAATACGTGGTATATCCTTTGGAATGCAATAAGTCCTGTAGGGAAATCTGTCAACGTGATGATCCTGAGTAGGCTGATGGCTGGCTTTGGTGCTTGTGCTGGCGTCACTGTATGTTCTCTTGCATTGCCATCGTGTTTCAGCCGTGATAACTGACTGGTTAATACAGCTTACCGGTCCAATAATGGCTGACATGTATGGCAAAAGAGAGCGTGGGAAAGCAGCTTCAATAGCGGCTTTGTTGCCTTCTCTAGGACCGGCCCTCGGCCCTATATTGGGTGGAATAGTCACGCAATTACTCGAATGGCCCTGGATTTTTCATATCATGAGTATTGTTACGTCTGTTATCACTCTTGTAGGTATACTCTACATAAAAGAGTCCTATACCCCGGCTCTTCTCCGTCGCAAAGCCAGGGGAAAGCCCGTGACACCCCGAGAAGCTTTGACAAAGTCCTTTTGGTCAGAGTTCTCTAAGCGTTTGGGTTTAGGCATTTGGAGACCTGTTCGTCTCTTGCTCACGCGGCCAATCATCCAACTCATTGCGTTTGTAATGGCTCTCAGTTTTGCCATATATACGCTGCTTCTTGGCACGTATGCAACCATGTTCATGGATCGGTATGGGCAAACTCCATCCATCAGTGCCCTCCATTACATTGCCATTGCTGTTGCGATGACCTTTGCGGCGCAAGTCGGTGGGCGAGTGATGGATGTGGTGTACAGGCGTCTGAGTGACCGACGAAATAAAGGCCAAGGGAAACCAGAGTTTCGAGTCCCTTACTTAGTATCCGGCATCGTCTTGCTTCCTATTGGCTTGGTCATGTATGGCTGGGCAGCAGAACGCAGAGTTGCTTGGCCCGTGGTCGATATTGGCGCCGTCATCTTTTCGTTGGGGACCGTCATTGTTCCCCAGACGCTCCTTGCATATCAGCTGGATGAGTTTGTCGAACATGGAGCGTCTGCGAGTGCTGCCACACGGGTTTTGGCCTACGTTCTTGGCTTTGCTTTTCCGACATTTGCTCCCAAGCTGTATAGCACATTCGGCTATGGTTGGGGCAATAGCATGATGGCGCTGATTTGGGTTGTCTTTTGCTTTCCATTGCCCGTCGTTCTTTGGCTGTGGGGAGAGAAAATTCGGCGATGGGGTAGAAGAGAGGAAGAGCACCGGGTGGAAGGGGTGTGAATTATACAACGCATTAGAGTAGAGTGATGGTATATTCGTAATCTATTGTTTCATCATTGATATAGTATCCAATCGTCAAAGTCATAACTCATGATATCGTAGCCGCTGTTTCATACCCTGCCAACTCCCTCTTTTCATCCTCAACCTTTTCCTCTGCCTCGTCGTCTCCAATTATGGTAATATCATCCACCACCTCAGCCGTTGCAAATCTCCACGCAGAGACCTTCTTTTCAAACAAGACGTCCATCTCTCCATATGTCCTGCCTCGAGTCTCCGGGATACGAAAAATGGCCCAAATAGTCACCAGAAAACTGATACCGAACCAGACAAAGGCCGTCTTTCCCTTGAGATTCGCCTCGGTGGGGTTGATCAAGTATGGCTCGATGGTGTTGTCGACGATGTTTACAATGTTGTAAACGACGCCGGCAATGGAGAGCGTCTTGGCTCTCAGTCTTGTTGCTGAAACCTCTGAGGCCACAGCCCATGTTTGTGGCCCGATAGTTGCGGAGTAGACAGCCAGCCAGACGAGCGCCAAAGCGGACTGACCCCATTTCGCAGCCGAATTGTTCGAGGCATAGGACAAGATGCCGATGAGGAGGAGATCCAGCGTCAGGAAAGTGTAGCCGCTGAGAAGCACAGTTCGCCGGCCAAAGTGTGTCATGAGAACCCACGAGATGCACGTTGCCACAAAAGCGATGCCCATGTTGCCAAAGTTCATTTTATAGGCATCCGAAGCAGATAAGCCAGCTTGTACGAAGAAGTATGTAGCGTTGTACGCCAGAGATTGTCCAATCAGACTTTGAGACGAGAGCGACAGACAAGCAATCTCGGTGCGTCGTAGGTTGGCGCCTGTAAGACAGTCCCAGTAGCTCGCATCCGCCTTGATCTTCTGCTCGAGTCTGTTTGTTTCGTACATCATGAGGATCTTTTGGTTGATTTGCTCGTCATCAAGGCCGCTGGAGAGCCGTTTCAAGGAATGCCTTGCATCTTCGATTCGGCCCTGGCGAATGAGCCACCACGGAGAATCAGGAGCAAGCCATGCCAGGACGAAGAGAGGAACCGGCCAAACCCACTCGACAGCAAAGGGGATTTTGTAGGCCCATTTAGTGGTGTTGTTGACGAGGCCCTGCAAGATGCCGGCAATGATGAGCTGGCCGATTACCCAGCAGATGTTGATGAAGGAAGTCATGTAGCCTCTGAGGACAAGAGGACATATCTCAGACGAGTATACAGCTCCCATGATGGAAAAGATGCCCCAAATGGCACCAAGAAGACATTGTCCGGCAAGCAAGACGTGAACGTTGGGCGCAAAGAAGGGAATAAAGATGAGGCCCGTCATGATGGTCAGAGCTACCATTGTGACCCTGCGGTGACCGAATCTCTCGGTAACAAAGCCGTTGATGACCATGCCAAAGACGCCTCCGCAGGATCCCGCTGTGCTGAGTCCTACTTGCCACGGTCCTGAGATGACTTTGGCTCCCAGTTCCGGGTGGTATGTGCCGTATTTCTCGACAAATGAGGGATATGCCATGAGACTGCCCATCAGAATTGTGTCGTAGCCCACCATGACTGTCAAGATGATCATTAGTCACACGAGGCCAATTCAAACATTCACTTTCCCAGATAAAGGACCTTGAAGATGCCAGCCTTACCAATAGTAAACGACATTGCAATTGCCCAGAATATGGCAGTGGGATACCGTCTCAACGCTTCGCTGACCGTCGTCGCATGTTCGTCCCTGTTGGCACTGGCGACAGCCTCGGTGATGGCCGCAGCCTCAGACATTGGAGGAGGAGCTGTCGTCTCCATGCTGCCGAGAATCTGAATTCTTGTCTCTGGTCGCAGTGGGAAGAAGCTGGTATTTGGAGTTCTATAGCAGAAGTGGGATAAAGCAGTTCAAACTCAGCGAGAGACACTCGACCACTTTAACAGCGCCTCTTTCTCGCGCAGAGTGTCTCACTCAGTCTCACAGGGAGGGATTCATGAAAACGCCAACAACTTCTCAACGGCATTTACGGGCATAATGGCCTACTTGTACGCATCTTTGAGTCTCGGCCGAGGTCGCTGTTTAATATTCCTCCCGCAGCGGGTCCTGCCGGCTCCATCCTGGCAACAACAGCACTATCACTCTTGGTAACCTCATGTAACTCCGGGCGCTTGCTGATAAATCCCGAGGCTATTCTGACGCATGTGTTGTGATCAATATTGCAGGACGAACCCTGGCAACAAAAGAGCGAATACTACGGAATACGCCTAATACTACGTCGACTTACACAATGAATGGAACCGGTTGATAACGAAAGCAACAGCGACATGGAACCCTCCAGAAGGTCACAATCTCTGAGAGATATGACCCATGCATGCGGCCAGATCTGGAGATGCAAGCGAGGAGGATCTGGCTGAACCAAGTGGGTTTTCTCTTTTTTCCCTCTATTTTTTCATTTCTCTTTCTCGCAGCACATATGTGGGGATCGTCTTATTAGCCAGTCCGAGTAATCCTAATGTCTTGGTTGAATCTCTCTCCTCCATACATGGTTCGACGCTGCTCTATCGAAGGAGATGCATGTCTCATTTACACGTATTCATCACATCCGCCAAACAAAAGCACCCAAGCAGAACAAGACTACATGTAGATTTTGATGTCGCAATGCATTGCTTCTTACGGATACTACTAGTAACGCTAAACGTGCATTGCCAGTCCCGAATGACTCACTCCATGCAAAAGCCGACGCCCTTCACCAAGTCTCCCTTGTTGTAAAACTCGGCTCGGGGCAGAAGCTCGCCAACGACCCAGCGCGCCGTCCTGGCATGCGTCGAGCCATGGCCAAACGGCCCAGCTGTCTTTTCCCTCCTCATCCTGCCTTCTCCAACGTTCAGCTCACCCATTGCGTCGATCAGCGGGCCGAGCGGACCGTCTAGGGACTCGTTGACGGGCTCTTCACCCCGAGGGAAAGACGATGGACCGTCGCAGAGCGCCTGGAAGCAGATGAGCTGGTCCTGTAGATGCTCGTCCACCTGTCCACCCAAAGACACTTCAGCGTATAAGTCTTTGCACAGTTTCTTGCAGAGAAGCGCGATGAAGCGATCGTAATCCTTGGTCTTCTTTGGTGCGGATGTCAGGACGTCTTTGGCCCAGCGGATGCCGTCCGCTGAGTGAGCCACGAGAAGCACCGACCAGCGGGCGTCGCTGCATGAGTCTTCGACGATTTTGAAGTCGATTTCGGCACTTGGCCAAAGTGCTCCAACGTTCTCTACTACCGTCTCTTGAAGCTTGCTATGCGAGTGCATAGGCGTGATGATGCTAACATCAACGTTCTTCACCTCAAACGAGGCTGGGAAGCTATACCGCGGCGGAGGCACAAACCTGAGCTTCTCGCCGTTGGGTATCGGGTATAATCTGAGCCAAATAGACCCCCTAGACAGCGGCCCCAAACTCCATCCACGACTTTTCAGCTGTCGTTCAATATGTATGCCGAACCGCTCTTCCAGCGTCGGCGCCAATACTTGGTCAAAGTATTCATAGCTCGGCGAGAAGGAAACATTTGTGCCGCCTGACAGCTCCACCACAATGGGCTCCTTTGTATCGCTACCTGCGAAGAGTAGAAAAGGCAACATTGCCTGAAGGACTAGCATTGTGCTGGCGGCTCCTGATTCGGTCCTGATGGCGATGCTTCGCTGGAACAGCTCTGTTGGGGGGCGTGTGGGCGTGAATCTCACAGTCTTGGAGCCGACGCTGAGGCCTTGGACGTCAGCTTCGGTGACTTTGGCGAGCCATTCGATGGCTGCCACATGCTGGTTCTTGAGGCCTGACCATGCGAGTGTTTAGTACATGTGATCTTGCTGTCATGATTCGTCTGGAAGAGTGAGGCTGGATATTTTCAGCCTGTATGTGTGTGGACTCACCTCCACCGCGTGGCCGATTGCCTCGCACATTCGTTATTTCGACGGATTGTGCAGTGAGCGCTGCCAGCGCAATGCCTAGCCGGACGAGCTGACCGCCGCCCTCTCCAGTTCGGCCATCGAGCACGATGGACTTTGTCTTGCCCATTTGTAGCTGTTTGTGGTTGAATTGAAGGGTTTGATATTGCGGCCTCAATGTGGGGGTCTTTAATGATGTGATGGAGCCCGACGTTATCGCCTTGGTCGATTTGGGATTAATAAGTTGTCTCTTGGTGTAAAACATTCAGGATATTATAAAGAGAATTAAGAATACTGTTTGTTTGATCTTATATCAGATAATTCTGACTGCATATTGAGTCTGAGCTGCACAGCCTCCCAAGTAAGCCTCAAGCTTGGGGTCTGTGAGTCACTCGGCGCGTTGCATCTCACGACATCCGGCAGTTCATCACAATGAGATTGAGCCTAGATTGACGGCTGTGGCACTTCGATAATGAATTTTTAAGACAAAATACGGCATATTAGATATAATGTGAAGGCCTGTGGTGCATTTTTACGTAGCATTCCGGCGATGAGTAGAGGATTCTCAAAGGCGAAAAGTTGTAAACAGACGCCAGGTAAAGTAACATATGTATTCAAATCAAGATCCCATCCATATACGCCTTACTAGTCATAGTATACAAGACCAAAAAATAATAATAAAGCAAAACGCAAACCATTCATCGTGTGAGCAGCTGCATCACATACATATCATGCCCCGAGACCTTTGCCAGGCGAATCGTAGCATCAATATCTGGCGATCGTCTTGCACCGCCATTCGGCTTGTCCATCTCAGCTTTGAATTGAGCAAACCATTGCTCCAACGAGATGCGCCCAGAGCTCTGCTCAAGTGCACACCAAGGCTTTAATCCCTGTCTCGTACTTGCCGCTCCAAATATGAGAAAGTACTGCTTCCCGTTGAGTTTAAGCTGTACAGCTCCCGTCTTTGGTGTGAGTGATGAGGAATTGGGAGGCTGCATCAACCAGTTGTGAGAATCCCACAATTTCACTGGATAAGCCGCTTGAACAGAGACCGCAGATGAAGAAACATTCTGCGGTGCGACGAGCCAGAATCCAGGCGGGAGCTGTGGTTGAGAACCTGGGGCCTGCAGGACGCGAACAGTCCTTGGAGCCCAATTGCGAAAGACGGCACCTAAGAGGCTGATGGTTAACATAAACGCGATGTTTGAGGAGGCAAAAACCATTCTCTACGTACGTGAAGTCACTTCTAGCAGCTGCGTTTGTTCTTGCGTTGGGTCAAATCCCTCAATCGCCACGCTTTCATCTCTTTCCACGCGCGCAAACTGGAAGATTTGCGAAGTGTCTATCCTCGAGAAGTTGTTTCCAGAGGCATCAGTCCTCTTCAAGCGGATTCCGGCCAAAACACCCGGAATATGCCCAACCTGGCAGTCCAGTATGGCGAAGAAGATGTCGTTGGACCCAGAGCTGGTATCATGGCAGAGAAGGAGGTTCACGACAGCGCCCTGGCTCGTGACGGTAGTTTGTCGTCTCCCTGGCCGTGGGATATACAACTTTGCAAGTGATGATGAAGATGCAAAGAAAGAAGGGGTGGGTGCCAGCAACCCGTTGCCCTCGCCGTAGTCGCCTCGGCGAGTTCCTCTCATATCGGTGTCGTTCCATGCAAACACGGACTGATCGTCAGTCTCTTGCATGATTTCCTCTTGCAGTCGTGTAAATGCTTTTATTCCTTCTCCGTACAGAAGTGGCATGCTAATGTTGAATATGCCCATCAAGCTGTAAGCCATGTCCTCTGCCACTGTTGTCTGACGATTGGCAACCCAGCTCATGCGTCGCGCAACACTGATGCGTGACAAATCACCACCTCCAAGAGCATAAGTGTCAATGCCCGTTACCATTGAGAGCTCAGCTAAATGATCATCCTTGGTGCCGAGAAATTGCCATGACTTGGAATAGAAATGGACCACTTTGGGAGCAATAAGCTCCTGCAGCGTCCATCCTCTAGTATACCACCGGGGCAGAGCAGAGGACGATGAACCAGTCTTATAAGGCAAAGGACCTTGGCAATCCTCCAAGAACGCATAACAGAGGGCTGATTCTCTATACCACTGAAACATGGAGTTGATAGCTTCAGCCAACTCTGTAGAGCTGGTCTTGTCAATGCAACAAGTATCGTTCCAGATATACCGGAAGCCATCTGTTGCCGCCCGCCTGCAGCTATCTTCGAGCTTCTTCCACCCGCACTTCTTCATAGTTGCGGAGCGATCTTTGGCCCGCATGTCTTGGAAGGTGATTTCGCCTTCACCCCATGTGTGAGAAAGGATGGCATAGCGAGGAGTTGGGCGCTTGGCAGTGAGATCACTGCCCTTTTTCAGAAGGGTGTTATAGCCGCCATGGTTGGTGAATTGTTCGATCTGGAGAGTTTTGGTGTTGAGAAGCCGCATATTAAAAGCTTTCAAAGAAGGATTGATAATTAATGTAACAAATAGTACTTAGCATAAACAAAATTAGAAGAAAATTGATGATATTTCGTCTATCTGATTGACTTGCTGATGTATGTCTGCCTAATCTCACCATCCCTACCTGACGAAGCAGCCCATCTATATATATTCCCTTCCACAACGCAACACACCCTCAAATCCTCACCAAAATTCACCCCATATCCCCAAGTAGAGCCTCCTGCATCTAGCCGCCGTCAAACAGACTCCCGTAAACCCTCACCTCCTCCCGCATTCCCCATTTGCCTTACCCGCCCCAAGCATCCATCACCAACCAAACACCAAGCGCCTCTGCCAAACGTTGAAACGAGAGGACCACAATCCCACGCTCGAAATAGTCAAGACCTCGCATTTGGTTTCAACACTACAAAGAAACCGCGCGCTTCTATTCGAGAGGGTCATGGCTTGGCTGCTGGGGATTTCAGACTACTCATGTAGGCTCCACCGCTAGGATGAAGCTAACGACCAACAACAAATATCCCCTTGCTGAAGATAAAATTTAGCGAGGCCGCCAGAGGCCATTCTGTAATAAAAGCAAGCACGGATGCTCTGTAGAGGCAGTAAATAAAAATGAATGCGGTACATGTAGGTAGATGTGGTAAATGCTGAAGATACAGATGGATATAAGAGACGGTACTTACTTATACGAGGGTAAGAGGCACAACATCTAATCTGTCTAACGAAGCCATCTCTGAAGGATCTTTCGCAGTCCTACTGTCTCTATACCACTCAGTGAGTTGCTCATCGAAAAGGCCGACTTTGACCCCTGCAAAGACGAGTCGAACAACACAACAGCAGCATCCAACAGCGTTTCGAACCCATGTAAATCACCGCCCGCTTCTTATTTTATACCCAACAACACATGCTCGGCGGCAAGAGAGAATGTTGGTCAGCATACAAGTGAATATTATTTTCATTTCAGTTACTGTATACAACTAACAATGTGACACTCGTAGGTGCACTCGGTATCATAATAACGCAAACAGCCCATCATCCAAATATAGACGACAAAAAGTCAAACGCAGCATCATTTGCCGCTGATGCTACCTATCTCATCACATCACTTTGACGAGTGTAATGTTTGTGTGACCAATATATGGCCTAGTGTTGCTCTTACACGGCAACCCATCTCTACTTATGATTGAGCCTTTCGGCACGACGGTAAAAGGGAGGCAGAGGCTCCAGCTCTTGTCGCAGTACCCAGGTTCTAAAGTGCCACATAGCATTCTTAATCTGGTAGCTCGTGTGTTTGCGAGTGCTTACTCCAAACACCTGGTCCAGCTCTTCAAGAGTGAGTGCCTTGGTCTCAGGCACAAATAGGAGGATGAAGACCCAAAGGACAGCACACCAAGCTGCATACCATCCGAATGCCCCCTGGACAGTAAACGCCCTAGAGATGGATGGCCAAGTGAAAGAGAGAATGAAGTTGAAACACCAAGTGGTCGCAGTAGCCCATGACATTCCCACATCACGGACATGGACTGGGAAGGCCTCTGCCGAGTATGTGAACGGCACTGGACCTTCACCCGGAGAATAAAAGACCTCAAAGAGGTACATGCCCGTTGTAACCATACCGACTCTCTTCTTGGTACCATCATCTGGGATGAAAAACGACATGCCAGTCCACAGCAAAAAGAGGCACAGGAAGGGAAACGTAAAGAGCAAAAGGTTTCGACGGCCCCATCTGTCAATGGTAAAAACTGCGGGGATGGCAAACACGAAGTTGAGAATGCCGGTGCCCATAGATGCAAGCAAGGCCGAGTTGGTAGAGTAGCCGGACTCGATGAAGATGGTCGTACTGTAGTAAGCAATGATATTCACTGTGCACAGTCAGTCACGAATGTCCAGATAATGAAACAGGTCAAGAGTAAAAGTTCTTACCTCCACAGAATTGTTGACTATAATAGCGATATGTATTAGCTTGCGAGTCTTGACAGTGTGAAAATCACATCTACCACTTACCCAAACATGAGAATCCATGTGGCCCATGTAGCCCGGCGGTTTCTTGGGACGGTAAAAAGCTCGCCAAACTGAGTGAAGAGGTTTTTGCCCCTATTCGCTTCGCGCTCAATCTCAACTCCAACATAGGTATAATATGTATCACGAGCAGCTTGGATGTTGGAGTATCGCAGGCGCTGGAATGATCTGAAAGCCTTTTTGACCTTTTTATGTTGGATATACCAACTGGTAGGTGGTTAGCCGGGCTGTGAATTCAATGGGATATGAATGTGGAATTGAAGAACATACCGAGGAGATTCGGGACAAAGGTAAACCTGCGCACAGACAATCAGGGGCAAGACGACGGTGCTGCCGAGCATAAGACGCCAGCCGAGAGAGGGCTTGATGCCTGTTGATGGACCAAACGCAACACCCATTATGTTGCCGAGCATGATGCCAAAGGCAGTCCACATCTGCCACTCTGTACAGGTTGGCTGATTAGTCTCAAGACAGATATTTGATTGGGGGAAAGTGTGATGAGTGCTCACGCATGACCAAGGCACCTCGAATCGGCGCAGGACTGCATTCAGCAGCGTAAACGGGCACAGTTGACGACTTGGGACCGATGCCGAGACCAAGAACAAATCGAGCGAGGAACAGATTCACCCAAGAGTTGGCCACGCCCTCCCAAATAGAGGCAACGGCAGCAATAAAGCAAGAGAGAAAGATTGTTCCTCTTCGTCCGAGAACTTTGTTCAAAGGCTCCGTCAGCCAGCAGCCAAGTATGGCGCAGCAGAGGTACGGAGCGCCAACGACTAGGCCAGTAATGTTATCCTGCATGGAGGGGGAGAAGCGAGTGACTCCGGGCCCTGCAATGTCAAGATCGGCCAGATACAAAGCTTGGGCACCATTGTTGACCGTCTCGTCCATTCCCTGCACTGCGGCAGCCATGGAGCACATGCAGCAAAGCCAGTAGAGCATGAATGGATGAGACCAGCGGTGCGTCTGCTCTCGTTCAATGATGTTTTTGTCCTCGGGAGTGAGTTCCTCCAGCATGTGGATGGATTCCGGGCTCTGGGCGGCCAGGGCACCCTTACGGAAGTCGTCGAGGTAGTCGTTGAGATCATGCATTCGACAGAATTCATCAACATCTTTTAGGAGCTCTTCTTTGGTGCGTTGCTTCAGGGGGTTCTCGAAGACGGCAGCGAGATTGTCCATGTTGGCGAAGGAGCCACGCCGAGGCGCGTGCTCGACGTTCTCAGTGCCATCCTGAGAGATTTGGCTGTCGTCTTTCTCCATGGTGTATATGGATGCTTGATTCCAATATACAATGATGAAGACGTATAAAGCGTCAAGTTGAAGCTGAGATTGGGGATGATGAGATACGCGGTACTTTGAAGCTACAAAGCAGAGGCACGTGTAACTGAGATACAATCAATGGGCAAGAGAGATGTCTGCACCTGCATCCCTATTCCTAGGCCGATGTGATGCTCAATGGGGATTGCTTCAGGTACTTTGACAGCTTCAAGTAGGGCCTGGACCATTATAAGCACGTCATGTAGCACAAGAGGAGATGATCAAGTCCAACGCCGGGATAGAGGACACTCCTCACTGTTATAACAACATCCTCTCGCCGTATCATCCCCCGATATCATACTGCATATGCACAATCCCCTCCATCCTTCCCCGACTTGGTGGCTGACGCCCCCAGTCTAGCCATCAAAAGACTATGTGCTTGGCTGCCCGAATGATTCTTCACATTCTAAAGGCCGGCACCAGCAGCCTTGTCCGCCATCAACGCCGATCACCTCGTGCGAGGGCTTCCCAGGATCGCAAACCTTGGTTTCCCAGGGATCCTCTTGGACACCCAACACGGTGTTGTGACGAGAATTGCGTACTGTAGGGGGAATATCTTGACCTTTTCCAGACTGTCTTTATGCAGGAAATGTCGTTGCCTGGCGAAAAAGCGGATCTTGGTCTTGATGTTTCCTTTTTGCCTTTGTTTCCAGCTTCCCACTTGCGTCCACGAGGCATCTTGACCCACTGAGAAGCCGGGGAAACTGGAGACTGATTGACTGGAGAACACATGGTCGTGGAGTCGTAGACCCTTGGAGGTGAGCCAAAATGTGATGGACATACAGACTCGTACGAGTAGTACATGAAGATATGACTTCATCTTCGCCCTCTGCTAAACGGCTGTTTTTCATTCTCCACACTCCATAACACATACGACGGTGCAGAAACGGTGCCATCCGGAGGAGATTCTGCCGCAGTCCGTCGAGCAAAACTCGAAGCTTTTCTCGCAAACGCCCGTTGGCCCTCTCCTCTTCGGAGTTACTCAAGGCGGCAGTCCATGGGCGTCCAACCGGTGATGTAATTGCAAAGAAGCCCGGCTTGGATTCCTGTAAAATGATTTGCGCAGGAAGCCATCCTTCTCAGCCTAGCGCTGCTCTGGCTCGATTCTCCCGATTGTTTCTCTCGCCGCCACTCCAATCACCGGCCAGGACGTTTAGCTATTTCCGGACGTGGGCGCGACGTCATTCAACTGCATGCAGCCAGGGATTTGTGATGGTGATCGGCGCTGCATTTCTAAATGGCGGAAACATTATGACGATGGGAAAAAAGATGGCAGAAGCGACGGCCGTCGAATTCTCCGCAAGACTCGTGAGCCATGACTTTTTTTTGCCCACAACCCGATCAAATGGGTCGGTGCCGCTGTGGTTCTTCTGGAGACGGGTATAGCCACACTCCAGTTTCCCCGGATTTTAGGTACGCCAATGCTTCAGAGTCTTTTGTTCCACATGGCAAGTCATTCTGAACATAACCTTGTGTCTGGTCGTTGAAGTATCATGAGAAAATGGAGGTGATCTGCCGCAAGAGTGGTAACATCGTGTGTCTTTTAACTACATGCCACGGTCAACAGTGGGACCATCAGCCAAGTCTGCTGCATGCCGCTGAAGATTGATTTGACCAGAGTTCGATGGTTTTATCATAGCATCGACAAACAATCCTTTTATTAGTTGCTATGATACATAAAGCTTACAAAACTCCGACGATTGGAATGCTTCTCCAGCAAACTGTGGCTTACCGGCGATAAGGGTATCATATCAGCATCTAATTCCCAGCTCCCTTCCATCTCGGATCTCGCGACGTCTTAGCGGACTACTTTGAACTTAATCCTGTTTTATTCCCAAGAATCAGGATACAATGACGAGCTGATGCAGCATCGGTCTTCTAGGCGCCTCCGGAATATTTCCCCTCTCAACCTCGTCAATCTGGCGCCGGTTTAACCATGTTTATGCCACGATTGTCAATGATCAGCAAGGCTGGCGCGGTGCGCAAGGCTGGCGCCACTCGGCAAACATCCATCAACAATCGTGGGCTGCATCGTCATGCATGTGTCTAGCAAGGGAATTTAGTGAAACCACTAGGATTATATTTCGCAACGTCATATCCATTCGAATTATTGTACATACACAACAAGCAAGCCTAGACAGTCACATGGACTCAGACTACCAGCCTCGATATTGTGCTTAGATGGATGGCAACTCCTCTTGATCGGCGATGCCAAAGGTTTGAACCTGATGATCCGGCGAAGTTCTTTAATAGACTTATTTGGCTTGGTCATTCACGTCAGACACTCTTTTGGGGGGTTCGATGTATGTCTGACAGACGATGGACCATTACCTCTCCGTGTATATCTCGAATGTTCATTCCTCCTTACTAAAGCAGCTATACTCTCTCGCTAAGCATGTATTATATGACGAGTATATATCCGAAGCCTAGCACATAGCTCAGTTCACCAAATGTAGTACTTGTAAATGTGAAACTTGTCAATCACTTGCAGTACGACTACGTGCCATTCAGCTAGCTGGTGGTATTCATGACGTTCTTATAAACCCTTGCATCTACTCACTCCAGTGGGAACGGGTCCAGCCGGATCATCACGTTGATATGTCGAAAACGCGTATGTGGGTTGTAAAAGCACAGATCAATAATTTTTGTACGCTAAAGTACAATTAAAGAATATTATATCCAACCGCATCGCCCCCCTACCCTACCAATACCATCCTTAGCCCATCAATGGAATGCTGTAAGAGAGTGGTTATTCAGTACTCCAAGTTGAGTGTTGGATATCCGGTAGCCTGTGTCTCGTATTAAGACTACCCTTTTCTTAAGAATCTTAAATACAGTCCTTTTTACAACCTGCTAATAACATACCCATTTATTCATTTACAGCCTGGTCCTTGAACTCAACCACCATGTCAAGATCTCTCCACTTCTCCCTCTCAATATTCTTAAACAGTATATCAGCAACAACGCCTCGCCCAGGGAGCTCCTTCGCCTCCTCCATCTCGACCAAGCCGACACTCTTCCCCAATGCTCTCATTGGAATATTATACTTCATAGTACCCGCCTCAATGATATCCACATCAACTTCATTGCTCAACCGCAGCAAGACCTGCATCAGCACCTTTCCCAGCCCTTTGCCCTGGATCTCAGGGCTTAGTCTGATAGCTACGTTTGCGATGCTCGGCTTTTCGCCCGAGGGCGTGATCTGATAGATAGCTCCCCAGCCTACAAACTTTCCCTCTAATGACATGAAGACGTCGAGAGCGTGGTGTCGGGTCCGGGAATCGGCGTAGTTCCTCTGCATCCTTTCTCCAGGGACGGGGGCTGGAGCTGGAGGCTCGGCAAGAGGGGCTTCGGCGGTGTTTAGGGCCGAGGGGATGACCACTTTTTCTGCGAAGCGTATAAATGCTTCTGTCTCGGCGGGTGTCAGGCGGATGAATTTGATATTTGGTTCTGGGCGAGAGGGGAGCGTGATGATCCAGTCCTTGGTGAAGAATCTGTCGTCCCTCTGGAAAGGCGCCATGTTTTTTTTTTGTTACTTCTTGGAGTTGAATAAAACAGAGAGAAGAGTCATATTGAGAAGTCAGAGGCAATTTAGTGATCGAGTTGAAGAATTGAGTATTATATATTATTGGAGAGAAGCCATCCGGTGAGGGATTATAGCTAGTAATTCTAGGTAGCAACTATACAGAAGTGGTTAGATGTGGTCGTGGTCTTAGGCAGCGATCATTGAGATTATACGGTGCTTGAGCGTATCGAAACAGAAGTTTACTAATGTGTCTATGATAAATATATTTGAAATGAAGAATAACGCAGAGAGGGTGGTTGTTGAGACTTAGGCTGTCAGCCATTTCTGCAAACTCTGCATAGCTAACCGGCACCTTGGAGTACAGTCGAGCAGCCACGAGTATCAGGAAGTAAAAAAAATGTCAATAAACTTAGCAACACCAACTTCATCTCCTATTATTCCGATCATACGATTTCATGAATATTCCCTCGTGAGTCAGTATTGTCATGGGCCAATTGCTATTCCACCAAGTCAAAGCTTTCAATGCAAAGATCCAACAACACAGTATTACGCGAGGACTGAAACCAGCACGGCCAATTGACTAAGTACTAGTAGACTTCTCGGCGTAAATCCGAACACTTTACGGAGTACAGTAGAGGGCGAAATGGGCGTTGTTAGTCACGTCTGTAATAGCAAATCATTGAGGAGATTCTAACCCCACCAATTCTGAACGCGACGCGACCCAGCTAGATTTTCCAACTCGCAAGAATTGGAGATTTAATCTTTACCGCCACAATTATCTGCAATATTTGACTACGACAATGGCCCCTGGCCCAAAATTGCCGGCGTGGTATTACCGCTTGGTCGCCCTCACCATCAAGGAGGATCGTGACGTCTTCCCCGAAGACTTTGATGAAGACCTCTCCGACATTGATGGCGAAAATCCCTCGGAATCGGGGTGCGATTGCGACAGCGAAGACGGCGAATGTGATTGTGATGATCAATCGCATAGCTCGGAGAGATCATACAATGGATCGGATGCTGATTACTACTACGAACTCAAAGACGAACGCAAAGAGCGGAAGCAGCAGCTACGGGATTATAAGGTGAAGGAAGACAAAGACAAGGAACATTGGCGCAAATGGGAGAACGTCAGGGTAGAGGAAGTACAGGCAGCTTATGAGTCTCTGCAACAAGCTGAGATCAAAGGACACATCCCATCACCCCTCGACTCCATCTCTGGCAAGCATTTTAACTTGTATTCCCTTGACCACTTTGATCATCGCTACGATTCCTTGGTCTATCCAACTAAATATGTCGAGTTCTATTACATCGAAGAAGGCGATGACACTGTCACGGTTAAACAACCGCCTACCAGGGAAACGAAAAGTGAGGGTCACTTGTACTTGGATAGCGCTTGTGGTTGCGATTTTGACTTATTCTCTCCTCCGAAGCAAGCAGGTCTCGAAAAATACAGCTTGAAGGATATCGACGGAAAATTTGCCCCCATATTTCAGTTCATCAGCAACGATCACTTAATAGTGACTGTCCCTCGAGATATAGTCTTCATGGATGTTCCTGGACCCCCGAGTGCACCAGATACGTTCACATTTTACGGCGTTCGTCATGATTACCCAGAGGAGAAACGTCGAAGGGAAGAGGAAATAATATCCCAGCGCCCGCCATCGCCTCGCGACACTTGGTTTGAGAGAAACCATCCGATGGGAGCATGGAACATGGGGGGATGGTAACAACGCATTGGTCGCGCTTCAACCGACTGCCTATCATGATTCCATATGCGTAATGATTCCACCTGAGGCCCAAGTTCCTTGAACCTCTGGTGTCGATGGTAAGCTATTTGCTGTGGATGCGCGGTATCATAGTTGGAAATACTTGATAAAAACGCATTTTCTCCTTTTTCTATAATGAGAGAGACATCCCCACTGCATACCTATAGATATCTTACGATGTTATAAATGTTTCCTCGTGGGTATTGTCACGGACCAATGGCTATTCCACCAAATCAAAGCTTTCACAGCAGTGATCGATCCAACACTACAATATTAGGCGAGGATTGAAACTAGGCCAGTTGACTAATAGGCTTCTCGGCGTAAATCCGAACGCTCTACAGTACTAACGGGCTTATTATACCGAAAAGGAAATTCACGGTGAAAAAAAAAAATCAAGAACGAGTGCTGTACATGAGACAGAAAACCTGGAATGGAATTGCCTCAGTACGAAGCATTGAAGGGACTAAAGCGATCTAAAACGTTGATAGGTGGAGCAGCGGCAGGCTAGAGCGAGAATTATATGGAGTGGCCCGTATAATCTGGCCGAATTGCTCTGGTATTTTAAGTAACTCATCTTTTTTAGTGAGCAAAAGAAGAGCTGAAGGGCCAATATCAGTTTGGCAATTTGCAATTCGGTTGATGGCTCCAGGGTAGCTGAAGAAGCAAGGCGACATGTACCTGTACGGAGTACCCGATAGATAAGGGCGAGATGGCATGGACAGCCATCCAATTATTTTTGCGCGATACCTCAGGCAGCCACCACGTTCACCGATGCAACCACATTGATTTGGAACATAACCCTCGACAGACAAACGAAAAATGACAGGTCTGCAAATTACTCACCGGAATTCGCATGGGCTGTTCGACCCTCGGACAGAAACACGAGCACAGACAGCCAATGGCAGGCGCCAAAATCGCACAACTCGCCGCTGGCTTTGGCCTGAATCGCACGCTTGCAGCGGAGTGCGCCTCACCAGCAAGGGCCGGGTTCAGGGTTCGCACACCGGTTGTTACTATCTGGCGTCTGCCTGCATCCACATGCAGTTCGGTGGATTGTGGCCTGTTGCAAAGGGGGAAAAGAACACCCGTGCGTCGTGAGGGATCAAAAGGAGTAATACCTATTGAATCGCGGGATGGCGTCTGTTCTGGGAGATGCGATGGGAGAGATTCAACGGCCGAAGCAGTAGATGGGCCTCGTTGCGCAAAGACGCGGAAACGGTTACAGCACCAGATGCACATCACCGTGGCACGTGGAGGCTTTTCATGCGGGGAGAGATCGTGAGATCGAACTCGCCTCCCAATTTCTCCTTCGGTGGATTCACCAAAACGGCGGCAGCAGACGAGAGACGGCCTAGCTTGGCGGAGAAGTGGCGGGGACGTTTGGGTGAGATTGGAGATGCAGCCCGCAGCCTCTTGGCCCTGATCTTGCTTGCTCCGGGTTGGCGCTCCAGCCTTTACGCTCATCGGATCTCTCCAACGGAGTATAACGCTACCTCCCTCCCGCCAACAAGGACATGCTGCTGGTCAACTCTAATTAGACGCCCGATGGGCTGAGCTGTCGAGGCGATGGCTGCTGCTCCCTTGCCGACTCCCGGCCGCTCCCACCTCGTCCGACTTTGTCTCTCCTTCGTCCTCCGTCCTCGTCTCTCTTCTCACGCCGGTTGCGAGAAACACCAACGGAGCAAATACCGCGGCCGGCCAACTTGTTTTATGGGCCCAGGCCCAGCCTTGCAGGGATTGCTACACCCACGGTGACGTAGGTGGGCAAGGATCCGTGTGGCTAACATCCACGCTGCTCCTATTGAAAAGCACTTTGCACGACACAAACGCCCTCGTTCTCCTATCGCTATCCGCATTAACCGGCGCCATGTCGAGCTACGCAAGGAATCAGGAAAGGACGGCCTAACTTCTAAGCCATATGGGCCCAGACATCCACAATGCAACCAAAGTTTCACCAAACTCCCCAGAGTGGCAGTTGGCACCAGAGCATTGTGAGCGCACGCTGCTGATTCTGATTGAACGAGCTAAACCCCTCAAGGGCCCCCCCCTCGTTGGCTCGTTCGCCAGGAGACAATACAGAGAATGGGAAAAAATAGATAAAAAGCCGTCCTTCCAGCTATTTCTTATGTTATTCTTACTTTATTAATCACTCACCCCATTGTCTCCCGCCGCCCCCTGGGAGCAGTGTCACTCACACGTACAATGTCCTCCGTCGATTCAACTGCGGCGGCCTTGGAGCCACGCTCCAACGAGACGTCGAGCCCTGCTCAGAATGTGGACGACGATACCAAACGGGGGCTCTCTGAGCCGGAGCGAGCTGTAGAGGTCGAGCTTCCTGGGACTGTCATGCCGGCTTTGGGTGAAGGTGATGTCCCCACGACGACAAAGTGGGAGATCTGGACTTGGTACGGCTACTACATTGGCGCCAACGGATTGTCGCTTTTCAACTTTGGCCCGACGGCCTTTCAGAATCTGCTTGACCAAGCTGCTCCAGAGTCCGGCCTTCTCATGTTTGCGGGCCGCTACCGCGATGTGAATAGTATCGTTCTGCTTGCCAACGGCATCTCTTTTGCCCTGCAAGCTGCTCTGTTCCTCATCATTGGCGCGTACGCCGATTTTGGAACAGGCCGTCGATGGATTCTGGTTGTCTGGTCAATCATCGCCTATGGCATTGGGTTTGGCTGGCTGGGTGTCCATCATCCCGACCAGTGGAAGATTGGCACAGGCCTTTACATTGTCGGCTTGATTGCTTACCAGCTGACATTGACATATTGGACCGCGGCCTTCCCGTCCCTCGCCCGCAACACTACGAAGCTCAAGGACTCTCGGTTGTCGTACGAAGCCGGCGACATTACACTGGAGGAGCTAGACCGTCGCGACGAAATGGAGCGCAGCCGGCTTAGCAATGTTTCCTTCTACATCCAGTCAGTGGGTGAAGTGGTGATTCTGGCCATCATTGTGGGCATCATGTTTGGCCTCCATGTGGACGACAGCGCCGAAAACAACAACTGGGGACTCTCTGTGCTGATTGCTTTCGCTACTGCCGTCTGGCTGGTTGTCTCCATCCCGTGGTTCTTTGTGGAGAAGTCTCGCCCGGGCATGATGATCCCCCCTGGCTACAACATCGTCACGGTTGGATTCTGGCAGCTGTACGAGGCCATGACGCAGATTAAGCAACTGAGGCAGAGTCTCATCTTCCTTGTCGGATACTTTTTGCTGGGCGACTCGCTCAACACGACGGTGACGGTCATCTCCACGCTGCAAAACTCCGTCGTCAGCTACAACACACTGACCTTGACGTACCTCCTCATCGTCGGCATCGTCGCGCAGGGCGTCGGCATCGGCGCCTTTTGGCTGATCCAGAAGAAATTCAACCTGAGTGCCAAGACCATGTTCAACGCAGTCATGGTGTCCATCATCCTTCTCGACGGCTGGGGCATGATTGGCAACTGGACGGACAAGTTCGGCTTCCACAACGAGTGGGAGGTCTGGGTCTACCAGGCCTTCTACGGACTGTTTGTGTGTCCGTGGTACAGCTATTCGCAGATTATGATTAGCTCCGTGACGCCCCGGGGCCACGAGTTCCTCTTCTTCTCCATCTTCAACATCATCGGCAAGTCGTCGAGCTTCATCGGCCCTCTTATCAGCAGCGCCATCATCGACGCCACGCCGAATGGCAGCAACAACAGCGCGCCGTTTTACTTTTTGTTTGCGTTGACGATTGTCAGCACGGTGGGTATTTGGTCGTTTCTTGACTTGGACAAGAGCGCCAGGGAGCAGGAGGCGTTCCTGGCGCAGGAAAAGGCGCGGATTATGGGTGACGATGTGACGAGTAACAAAACGAATGAACAGGACTAGGCAGGCGCATGATTTTGGGCTTCTTCTCTCGTTGTTCCGTTGTCTTTTCTTTTTTTTTGTTCTTTTTTTTCCTTTCGTCGGCTATGGTATGGACCCTCTCGATTGTCGAGATACTGGTTGCTGATGATGGTGGCAACACTCTATCTAGACAATGATCTCGCTCTGCTGTCGAACAGCAGATGCGCATGCCCCCGTCCCTTGATGTTGCCATGTTTGACGTAGCCATTGAGGCCTGTGGTTTAGGCCGCAGGTTTCGATGATTGTAGAAGTCCGCGTAGATTTCGGTGATGTTGACATGTTATACCTGGACATTGGTCGTGACTGATACCATCTACCACGGTTTGCCATGGTGTATTCTGCAGAAAAAAATGTATATTCAAAACTGGCTAAGCTGATCAAATATATTACAATTGGCGTCATTCTCGTAATCTCATATCTTGGCCGTCAACCTACAAAAGCACGACGATGTAATGGGCACGTCCGCTAGAGCCATGGCCTTCTTCAGCGGGCCTTCCACCGCCTTTGCTTCCTCTGTCCTGCCCAGCTTCACCAAACACTCGTGATAGCCGTGCAGTGCCCATACGTTGTTCGGATGGCGATGGACCCGCGGCAAGGAGTCGTCGATGCCCAAATCTGCACTATATATACTCAAAGCCTCACTTACATGGCCCTGCTCGAGTAAAAGTGCGCCGTAAGCATGTCGCGCGGGCTGCATCCATCCCCAAGGCTCGTCAAAGGGGAGGCCGTCGTAGCGGGAGATTGATTCGCGGAGGTGGGCAAAGGCGGCGGGGTAGTTGCCGGAGCGGTACTCGATTTCGCCGTCGAGCATGGCTTCGGCGACGCAGAGGATGTCGATGCATTTGTTGTTGAAGAGGGTGCGGGTGGGCTTGACGCGGGGGACGGACTCGCCGAAGAGCCGGCGCTGCTCACGAGCCTCGTCGACCTGTCCCAGCGCCGCCAACGCCATGCCCCTTGCGTAAAAGGTGAGCGCCGTGGTGACGCAGTAGAGGTCTTGGTCCTCGGGCAGTCTGAGCGCGAGGATGTCCTTCCAGCGGCCGAAGCGGATGAGGACGTGCACGCGCATGGCGAGGAAGGCTTCCAGCCAGTCGGCCATGGGAGGCGTGTCGACGCGGAGGAGCTCCTCGGAGAAGCTGGCCTCGAGGCGCTCGACGGTCTCGAGGGCAATCTTGGACTGGGCGGCGAACATGGCCGAGTACAGGCGGAAGTGGTAGTCGTGGCTCCGGTACAGGGTGTAAAAGTTCATGGGGCCCTCTCGCTCGAGGAACTTTTCGTCGGCGCGGACGGCGTCGGAGTTTGCGACGACGGCCCTGGCGTAGTCGCCCACGAGGATGTCGAGGTGGCTCGGCATGTGGTTCAGGTGGCCTGCGTCGGGGACCAGGCCGCGAAGGTGATCGGCCGCGGGCATGGCGGCTTCTGGGGTGTTTGACATTTCCATGAGGTGGATGTATAGATGCAGAAGCCCTGGGTGTCTGCTGCCGCCCTCGAGAGACATGCCGTGCTCGAGGATCTGTTTTACCTCGAGCGTGCGGGCGTCTGAAGCTGGTTTGCCCGTCTTGATGTCCCACAGGGCCCAGGGAGTGAGGTTCATCATGGAGTCGGCGTAGAGAGCGGCAACGTCCAGGTCGTCTGGGAACTGGGCCGAGACGGAGCCCATGGCGTCGGCGTATTCGCGATTCCATATGGGGCGGTCCGTCTTGGTCGGGGCCGCCGACCTTGGGTATCTATACCGAAGAGCCTCGATGAGCGCCCTCTCGACAGGAGTGGCCGATTCGGAGCACGCCTTGGCCTTTTCAATCGCTCGATGCGTCCGGTCCGCCGTGTTCTGCAGCTCCCTGCGGCCGAACAGATCCCAGGGCTTGTTGTAGTTGGGCCCCAAGGCGTAGGCGAGGCCCCAGTAGGCCATGGCACAGGTGGGATCGTGAGCAACGGCGCGCTCGAAGCATTTCGCCGCCTCCTCGTGGTTGAAGCCGTAGCACCAGACGAGGCCGCGGTTGAACCAGGTCTGGGCGATTGGGATGGAGGTGGAAACGGGGCGATGGAGGTCGCCGAGGTCGTAGTAGTCGGTGTCCAGACACGGCCTGTCGCTGGCCGTCCGACGGGCGTCCTTCTCTGCTGCTGATTCTTCCATTTTTTTTTTGGTTCTTTTCGCTTTTATTTCCCCGAGAGGCCGTGGCTCAGATGTTGGGAGAGGCGAACCGTGAGCTGGCAATCAGCTGGCCGCCGTGCATCGGACGAGAGTATGTCATCGTCTAGAGCAGGTTGGAAGCGGCTCAAGCCCGCTAGATGCATGTAATCTTGCTAGTTTGGTGGAGATTTCGGAGCTCCAGCCGTGGGCGCGACCAGCCGAAACCTTGTAAGCAAGGGAGAGAGAGGCAGGATCGGGAGTCGGTGAACGAAGACTTGTGTGAGGATGAAGATTTGGGCCAATGGTTACTGGTGTGTTGATGTTGATTCAGACTCGTTGCGAGATGCTCAAAGCGTGATCGGCACAGATCTGGAATGGCCCCGCTATGTGAGGCAGGGAGGGGGGAATAAATTTCCGATGGTTGGTTGCATCCTCAAGATGAACCACGTGCCATGGGATTTTGTATTTTATATAAAAGATTTGAAATATTATGTTTCTTGGTATTTATTCAGACACTGAGTGTGTAACTCTAGATGAAATAGTTGTGATTATCCTCGTAATTCGATATATGTAGAACAGCCGCGATACGATAACTCAATGTCTCAAATGACCGATAAAAAATGACACCCAAAGATAGGCGAATAAACCCCCTTTCACAACCCTCCAAGACAACTTAGGAGACTTTCCAAGTTTCTTTGAGCCCTTCCCTGATTCTATCCCAAGTAGACAGGCCAAAAAAGACAAGTCGAATGTGTTTACTGCATTCCATGTTTTGTCTCAAGATTTGTCGGTCCAAGTAAACACAATGTCTGAACCAATTTGAGGAGCGAGCTTCAGACTCGTCGATTGGAGGGCACGTTTTCTTCGTTGTCTTCTTCAGGACACCACTTTTGCAGAAATCGTACGATATGACTATGACCATCAGCTTGGCAAAGTGGATGGTGTACTTTATTAATATCCTAGCCTCACGTCGAAGCCGCATCACTCTCGGTCTTAGTTTTGTGATGATAACGATTTACCTGTTTCTTCGCAGAACCGATGATTACTATCGCCAACATACGGCTACTATCCTCTACAAGAGCTCTAAAGAGACGAATGGCTTGGACTGGTCGAGATATGCCTATACACAATATGTCACGAGCAGCGAATATCTTTGTATCTCGGCGATGCTGCTGGAGAGGCTACATTACCTCGGAAGTCGTGCAGACAGAGTATTGATGTATCCTAAGAAGATGCTCCCGGATCCTGAGACAAATGGTGGCGGAGGCTTTCACGATGCGGAACTGCTTATCAAGGCGCGAGACGAGTATGGTATAAAGCTCATGCCTGTTGAGATTCAGCATCGAGACACTATTGATGCCATGTTCCCTCAGTAATTTGATGGTAAATGACACAAGCTAAATCCGGCCAAGACACATGGTCCAACTCTTACACCAAGCCCCTGGCCTTAAACCTGACTCAATACGAGCGTGTTATAGCCTTCGACGCAGACGCCACAGTCTTGAAACACATGGACGAGCTCTTTCATCTACCGCCATGTCCAATTGCCATGCCTCGCGCTTACTGGCTCCTCGACGACCCGGAATCCCAGAAGACACTTACTTCCCACGTCACGGTCATCCAACCGAGCAAACGAGAATTCAATCGTATCCAGAAGAGGGTTCAACTCTCAGACAAGGACGAATACGACATGGAGCTGCTGGACAGGCTATACGCCGACACGGCCATGGTGATTCCTCACAGGCCGTACGCGATGCTTTCTTCCGGGTTTCGTGAGACGGATCATCATTTGTATCTCGGCTCTGAGACTGAGGGATGGGATCCGGTGGCGGTGTTGGGCGAGGCCATGACGGTCCGTTTCTTCCGGTGTTGAGTCCAGACGATTGGGATAACATCATTCAGTTGGAGCCAAAGTGCGAATTGAAGAGGAAGGATGATGACATTGACGACGGAGAAGAGGATTGCTCGGGACGGGATGTGTGGAGGGAGCTGTACGCTGATTTCAGAGAGCGCAAAGCGGTAAGTTGTGCATGTTTGTGGTGAGAGAATGACGAAGTAACAAACTGGAATGTCACAGAGAGTATGCGCAAAGAAGCAGTGGGCGGACGATGAAGACGAGGGATATGGAGCGTCGAAGGAGGAAGTGGGCGGCTTTACGAATCCGATTTCAGATGTTGAACTAGACGACGATGCTCGGTGTCTGTCAGCGTAATGAATAATGCGACAGTAGGAACCGGATGCATCACATTGAACCATAGAATCAGTGCTATAGAATTGTAATCAGCATAACAAACCACTTGGGAATTAGATTCGACTTAATAACAAGTTGAAACCTGTGTGTTTCTGTAATGCAACCGCCGGCTACGTTCCCCCGGGATAACGCGGAAGTGTCCGTTCATTCACATGCAGCGTCGCGGCCCGCCCCCACCACTTCCGACCATCCGCTCCAAATCCCGCTCCAAGCCGCTCCCGAACATCGCAAGAGGGTGAACTTTGATTGCTAATTGCTCTCAAGCTGAGCTTTGTAAAAAACCTCTGGAGAGCTCGTCACTGTCACCATCGCTTTTCTCATAGCTATTTCTAACCTCTCGACGGCTCTCTGGTTCCTCTCTTCTCTCTTTCTCATCAACCCCTCCCCCGCCTCAACTTCAACCTCAGCTCTCTCAACCATCAAAATGTCCTCCTCCTCCTACGCCCACCTCCTCCCCCCCAGCTGGAAACCCCAAGTCACCGCCTGGCTCGCCGAAGACACGCCCTCCTTCGACTACGCCGGCTTCGTCGTCGGCGAACACCCTCGCACCGCCACCCTCTGGGCCAAATCCCCCGGCGTCATCGCCGGCCGCCCCTTCTTCGACGAGGTCTTTCATCAGTGCGGCTGCGACGTCGAGTGGCACGCCGACGAAGGCTCGCAAATCGACCCCTCCCAGTCTCCCGACGGCAAGATCAAAGTGGCGACCGTCACCGGGCCTGCGAGAGGGTTGCTGCTCGGGGAGAGAGTCGCGCTGAACACCCTCGCCCGATGCTCCGGCGTTGCGACGCAGAGCGAGAGAGTCGTGTCGAAGCTAAGGAAGGCTGGGTACGAGGGCGTGCTGGCTGGTACGCGCAAGACTACGCCTGGGTTCCGGCTGGTGGAAAAGTACGGCATGCTCGTGGGCGGCGCGGACGGACACCGCATGGACCTGAGCGCGATGGTGATGCTCAAGGACAACCATGTCTGGAGCCGCGGGAGCATCGCCGAGGCCGTGGCGGCGGCCAAGGCGGTTGCCGGGTTCAGCGTCAAGATCGAGGTCGAGGTGCAGAGCGAGGCGGAGGCCGACGAGGCGATTGGCGCCGGCGCGGACGTGGTGATGCTGGATAACTTCACCGGCGACGGCGTCAAGATTGCGGCGCGGAGCTTGAAGGAGAGGTGGGCCGGCAAGAAGCGGTTTTTGCTCGAGGTATCTGGAGGCTTGAGGGAGGATAATGTTGAGCCATATGTGTGCCATGGTGAGTTTTCTAACACTTTCATTCTCAAGGGGACGACTTTGTTCGTTTACTGACGGGGGCAGATGTGGACATTATCTCGACGAGCTCGATTCACCAGGGAGTTCCGCATGTCGACTTTTCCCTCAAGATCAACCACTAACCGCATGACACGATGGGTTAATGGAGGCGGGTGTAATTTACGTGTATGTATATGGGTGGATATGTTATATATAACTCTGCAAAAGCAAAACTGGGAGGCTATTCTGATGAGAGATTCAATTGTGGTTGCTATTCCAACGCAACTGATAAGAACACAAGTCTATACATAAAATACAAAAAAGTACAGCTATCTACAATGTCTCTATCCAAAGAGACGACTTGATATATTTTTATTTTCAACTCAGTTCACCTCCTCCTTCTTGGATCCAAACAGGCCGTTAAACGTCTTGCTTAGCCTCTTGCTCAGCTTCTCGTCGACATTTGCCCCCGCCGCCTTGGCGTCAATGGTGGCAGCGCTTCCCTGCTGGTGCGTCAGCGGGTTGTTTTGCACCCCGGACTTGTTCTTGTCGCTGGATGTGGTGCAGCAGGATCCTCCCAGGAGAACGCTGGCGTCGTTCCTGGTAGAGGGAACGTCCATCGCAGGGTTGGCGGTGAAGAAGTCCGTAGGCTTTATGTGGATCTGGAAGGTCTCAACCGGCCTAGATGGAAAGTAATTGTTAGCATCATATCGGTGATAATCAAGCAGGATATGGCGATTGACTTACATGACAGGCCAGTCCTCAACACGGGGGTTGTGTGTCAGGCCAAACACGCTCCACACAACAGGGCTGCTCCTCTTGCCCGTGTCTGCCGCATCGCCATTCGTCGCCCCGTTGGCCTCTCGGTCTGAGAACCAGTCTCCTCGCTTGACCATGTCGGCCACGCCGCCAACCTCCTTTGTGCTCTGGTTCGTAAACTCTCCGGCGGCCCACAGCTCGCCATCTCGGTAACCGGTCACCCAGGCATTGTGCTGAGCAAACTGCGCTCGCTGGGCGGCCAGGCCCTCGGGGTCGCACAGCAGCATCTGCGTCACTGGTGCCATGACCTTGTAGCCAAGGTTCTTTCCTGAGATGGGGTTCTTCTTGTTGGCGTTTTCCAGCTTGATCAGTCGGTTGAGGCGCGGCTCGGCATCGACCCATGTAGCCTCCTCGACCTTTTGGCGCTGAATCTTGTAAAAGTTGCCATAGGGGTTGGTCTTGGGATCAATCTTTTGCCCGTGAGACTCCTCGACGATGACCTGTGAGTCGGCACCATCGTATGAGTCAATGGCAGGGTCGATGCGCACAGCGAAAACGTGCTGGTGGTTTTGCGCCAAGACACCTGGCGTCATGACGTTGCCGTAGGCACTGACCTTGCCTTCATCGATGCCGGTGACGCTGACAATGCCGGTAGCGCGGGTTTCAAAAGTAATGGAACCGGCAAGATCCAGCTTATAGCACAGGACGTACTCGTAGTTGGCCAGCGTGCAAATGAACTGGACCACAAACTCGCGGTTGCGCGTCACAACGGCCCGGCCGGTGCGGTAGTTGGTGTGCTTCCACAGGATACCATTGTCCTGTTCGTGCAGACACACCACAGCCTTTCCGGGAGACGGTGAGCCGTCGGGCGCAGTGTTGACCACGTCGATGTAGTGAATCGCGCCCAGACAGTCACATCCCAGCTCTAGGTTATTTGCGGCTCGTCCCATGCCGCCATCACCAAAGTCGAATGCCTGTTTGCGGTGGAAAGGGGGTCGAGGGTCGGCGTAGGGGACCGTCATCTCACTGAAGCTGAGGCGATACATGACGGAGCGGTTGTCGTAGTGAAGATCGTGCAAGACTGCGCCTTCGCGGGGTGTGAATCCGAGGCGGAACCTCCACTTTTGCCATTCAATCAGACCATCGTCGTGGATGGTAAAGGAAGCGCCCTCGGGCTGTGTGATGTTGATGGGCTTCAGGTCCGTCCTCAGGGGAATGTCCAGCAGCTCAGGGACGTACTCGCAGCCCTTGTGGTTTTCGAACAGCTTGACAGGCTCCTCACTTTGCACCTTGGCCTCCAGCTCATCGCCAATGCCGCCAGTTGCGATTCTCTCGACCCTGACGAGCTTCTTGGTATGCCAATCCATGACGGGGATAATGGGAATTGGGTAGCCGTAGTGGTTGGAGTCGGGATTCTTGTTGCGTGTGTCCTTTGCGTAGACCAATCCCTGCATCTGTCGCGGAATGTCCTTCTCATCGACATTGGGAGGTCCATAAGGCCATGGCTCGACACAGACTTCGAAGCCTTCCGGAAGGGTGAATTCGGACATGGCCTGTTTGAACAGATCCGAGTTGACGCAGGCATCATTAAAGAGGTCAAACTCACCACTAGATTGCGTTAGAGCCTTTGCCTCTTTTTCTCGATTGTGGTCCAAGGGGAGACTTACGGGGTGACATATGGCTGGTGAGGCACCGGAGCAGCTACTGTGGCGACTGCGCCGGTATCCAAGTTGACAATGGCGTTGATGTACTCGGAGCGATCAGCCCGGATCACATCGTGCTCAACAATGGCCTCTCTGGGCGGCCGCTTGGTCTCTTCCGTCAGAGTGCCCGTGTGCTCGGCCTCGAGGAAAGGCTGCAGCTCTGCCTTTTTGGGCTCCTGGAGGTGGATTGCTCTGAAGAAGATGGACTCGGAGGCGCCGTGAAGCTTGGCAACGGCATCCCGGGCCTTGATGTGCTCGGCCTCGGAGAGTGGAGCCAGCGGATGCGGCCTCGGTGCTGCGGTGACGGCCATTGTGATGTGGTTTTTGGGGAGTTGAAGAGAGAGAGATGAAGCAGCGAAGCAACAAGGTATTGGGAGAGATGATGAGTGGCTATCTGCGGGGACGGCCTAATGATCAAGCCAGCTTACCCTGACTCGCCGTATGATATCATAAGACAAATGCAGGCAGAGAGGAATTGGCGTAGAGTTGGTGCTCAGCTGACGTTTTGGAATATCGAATTGACACTCCAAGCGGTTGAGGCACTCTGAGGTTTACTGCAGGATTATCTCTGGGGATGTTGGAGATGTTGGATGTCGAAAGGAGAAGAGGATGAGGATGGTGGAATGTTTAAGTATCTGCTCCGAGGTCGTGGTCAGGTAGCAACACGCTCCAAAGGGCCCCGCGGACTACCGGGGTTCAAGATCGGGGTGTAGCTGGTCCATCGAGTGAGAAAGTAGCCGTTGAAGCTGGCCAGATGCACTGATCGCCTCCCGAAATGGCCGTGAATCGAAGGTTTGATACCAGTTCCAGTGCATTGGAAGCCCAAGAGACGCCAGACAGCATGGAAACGGTTGAAGGCGGAGGTGGGGCGGCGGCTGCTCGAAATTGGGGTTCCAGCGCCTGCCCCGCGTTTTCGCCGCCGCCCAGCCAATCAGGCGGCTGTTGTGGCGGCATCGCAGCGACGTTGGCTGCCGCTGATAACGCCAGAGCCCGCCGAGAGCCCACAGGAGCCAAATTCTACTGGGGGTTTGTCGATTTCTCGCCTTTCCGTCTCAGGGCATTTGGCCTCATTCCAGAGGCTTTTCTCGACTTCTCTACTTCAAGATCCCGCGCCGGCACATGACCCCGACTATGCCCGTTTGGGGCGATATCCTGCTGGGCGTGCATGAGCCTCAGGGCAATAGCCGTTCGTGGGGTTCGCCGCTGGTGGCTCGCTGGTTCCGCCTTGTGAACGGTACTACCTACGTACTGTAGCTGGTGACTCTAGCACATATGCCTCAGCTGCTATCCTGGCTCGACGTGAGCCTTATTGCCCGTTTTTGGACATGATGCCTTCTGGAACCGGAATCAGAGATGCGTGCGAATGAGGGGTTGCGGCGGTCCGGAGCCGTGGAGATGGAGATTTCTAGGAACTGGCCGGAGAGGACGAGTGCCCAATTTGGCAATTTTCGTGGTCTCGGTCTTTGACAGCTGTTTAATACGGATAGAACATGTGAAGCCATACCAATCTTGTTGTTGTTGGGGAGTGATGCTGCTTGCTGCTTGACCGGAATCACGTTGGTGTGAGATTTTTGCCAAGAAGTCTGCAATTCCGCCGGCAACAGCTCGCGATAAACCACGCTGTTCGATTGAATAACCAATAGTAATACAATCATGTATACGATGGCCATGATTTGGTCAATGTGAGATGAGTGCATTCATATGGTGTGTAGTACCATTCACCCAAGATCGTGATGCGGGCTTGTAATCGTTGCCCACGTCCCCCAAGTCTACAGTCTGTACGCGCTCCAGCCGTTGGAAACCATGATCAATTCAACTCACAAACATCAATGGGCCGCTATCATTTAAAGACGAAGCTAAAATCCACTTTCTCTATCTTGATATCATCCATAGTTCCAGCTTCTTATCTCAAAGTCCCGTCCCGTATGACAATCTGATGGCCTGATCAATCTTGGACAGATACGCCTGTCTCTCTCTGCTTCCGCCCCGCTACGGAGCTTCACGCTGGCTCTCCCCCGCACCGCCGTTGCCGCCCTTTTGCTTGATCGCGGAGCCGAGCCGCGGGGGACGGCCAAAACTGGAAGCAAAAATACATGCGGTGCCGCCAGAGCGAGAGTGAGTTTGGAGGAAACAAACGGCTAAGAATAGAGTGTAACGGCGTTATGCTGCGACGCTTCTGTTTCAGAATGGAGAGTCGCTTGTCTATTGTGAAATCTTGTCTGTCTCGGAAGTCGGCGGCTTTGGGCGTCTTGCTTGCACTTCTGTGACACCTTGGGATATCTGACAAGTCACCGGCTAGTTTGAACTGACATGTACTCTCTGTGGGTGATTATCGCGACTTTCGAGAGGAATATAGCTTCGTTTTATCATAATAATTTTTATGAAACAACCCGAGGTAACTAAAAATAACTTACTGGCGAGGGCCGATGGACAGGATCGACAACTCTGTAACAAATGCATGCGAAACCAAACATGTAGCAGCCTCCAAGCGTAACCGTAACCATCGCCGGGCCCGAGCAGCGTGGCATCTACCGAGCAAGCCAGCCTGGTTTGATTTGCATGTGCCGTGATTCAAAAGTCATGCCACTCCGGGCCGCAGTTGGAACTCGTCTGTCGTAGCCTCGCACTTTTGGCGTTTCATGCGTGCTGCCACGCATCATTTCGGAGGCGAGCGGCTTGTCCTCGTACTCGTAGCACCAGCAACCTGTCACATCCAATCCAGTCTGCATATGCAGCATCAAGCTTGACAAGTTCGGCTTGCTATTTGGCGCTCGGCTAGGGAATAAGCAAGAGGAAAGGATGAACGAGAGAGAATGGATCGACTGGCGCCAGATGCATGTATCGAGTGCACGATGCGTCCTCTGATCAGCGCGTGTCTTGCACAGGTACGCATACACACGTCAAACCATGCATCCATCCTCCACAATCTTCATCATCACTCCACAAATAGCTTCCTTTCAGCATTCTAGGCGGACCACGGACTTGTTCCATTCCAGCGGTGTTGGCTGAGATTTGCCACATGCACGCCATTGTTGACGTACCATGTGGCTCAGCCATCGACATCTCCAGACAAGGCGCAACGAAAGAGTCAGCCTCAGCCTTAACCCGGATACCGGCCGGTGGAGGCTGAGGGCTTGCTTCTTTTTCTGACGACTTGTCTTGGAGGGTTTCTGTCATCAATTAGCCCTGCAGCTCCGCCTCCCCTCGGCCCGTGCGGCAAAAGACGACTGGAGATCTAGATTGCGAGAAATACGAAGATTTTAGTGGATTTCTCGTACTGTAAACGAGGACGTATATTGGGTTGCTGATGAAAATAGAAACTTGAGCCGGCGAAACCTTGGACGACGAGTACGAGATATGGAAGAGGGCGAAGAGCAGCGTGTGAGTCAAGCTGCCGCACTAGGCTTCTCGGATTACAGTCGAAGCCCTTTACTCTTCCCTTTTTACCGGCCGTGACCGTGGATAGATGCATCTACACGGTTGATAGGCGAGCCGAAATCGAATCATTTCTCACGTCTCCAAAGGCCCCAGCCCTACGTTACAGCCGGCCATCGCTACGCAGATCGCCTACTCTGTGCTAAATTCCGACTTCTCGCGCAGCACGAGATGCCGTCCAGCAGCTGTTTGTTCACGGCAGCAGCTCCCCTGATGCCCATACGAGACGAGAGAGACGCGGACATTAGCCGCATGCAAGATTACGAACGGGTCATCTCGCCAAGAAAAAGCTTGTGTTGTATGCTACCGCCTCTTTGGAATGAATCGCTATCGAAAGGAACAGGGCCGAGAACTAGCTTCCCATTGAATTTTCCTGCTACTATTGTTTCCCATCAGTCCTTGATTGTGCCAAGTAGTGCAGCTAGCACGTAGTCTAGTAATTGTTTTTTCGAAGCTATTTGTTACTAGATGGATTCCCATGGGCGTCGCTTATCATGGCCGTTGAAATTAGAGCCCGGAAATGATGGAGACCGGGACAGGGGCAGCGATCCATCCACCGGAAAAAGATACGAGCTGATAAGAACGAAGAAGAGAGACGGTTTCAAATGCTGATTAAGGTTTCCCTTGGCATTAACAAGATACTGGTAATCTGCAAACTTTAAAGGTAGAGGGTATTCTAGAGTTGAGAAAAGGTGACCGCTTTCTGCACTGCTTTTCACGTCGTGAGGGTATGAAATGGATGACGGATTGATGGGAAACTGGGAAATGCAAATTGCGGAACAAAGCCAAGAATTCACCTGTTTAGCATGATGGTGCTGTAGATGGCATGCAACACCCACTGAAAGTGCCTAGTAAAAACCCCCCGTAGCGCGAATTTTGCTGCTGGCTGTAGGGGTCCACGGCCCCGAAATGACGACATCTCCACAGCTTGGTCCAGTTCAGCTGTCAGCAATCACAAGCTGCAGAGGCAAAAAAAAAGAAGGAAATGGACATTTCATGCGACTTGCAGACAAAGTGGCACTCGTAATAATGGCAGGGTAAGGCTTTTGATTACATTGTTAACCATGTGAAGAGGGGCAACAATGTAGGTGCCTTGGGATCAGATTGATAAGAAAAGAACGGAACAGATGAAACAGGCAAATCCGGACGGGATTCCCAGGGCCGGCCGCAGAGCGTCACAGGAAAAGGCGCCAAGGCGTCCGACGATCTGCCTGCAAACGAACCAACAAGATCGCTGCGCTAGACACTTTTGGCGTTTCATGTGTGCCTTGTAGGAATTGAATTGAACTGATCCCCTTTTTTTTTCCTGAGCCAAAAGATCACGTCACCCGCCGGTCTGTTGCTTCTACGCGCCCAGACACGGTGCAAGCTGCAGCTCATTGCCTTGGTAGGGAGGTGGTTATGTGTACTCCGTGATACTATACCTTACTGAATGTAGGAGTGCATGTAGGTGCCTGTATGTGCCTGTATGTGCCTGTATGTGCCTGTATGGGAGGGCTTATCACTTCCATGCAAGGCCTCTCTTCTCACCTCACCCTCACCTCATCCTGATTACTTTGAATGCAATCTTGCATGTGTCCAAAGGCCGTGATTTGTTAGTGGCTATTGTTGCCTCTGCCAATAAAACGCAAGTATCTCGTACGGCTTGTCCGGTGCAGAGTTGTGGGTTCGTTGCAGGTACCGGCTACCTGCTAGTCGCGATTTAGTGGCCCAAAAGCAGTGCTAAGCTCAACACCCCTATTTTTTCTTGCAATTTTTAGCTCAAATCTCCCACGCCAAAAGAGAAGGCCGAAGAAGCAGAAGAAAAAAAATAAAACACTGGACGGAACAAGAGTGACATCAAATAGCACATGGGAAGCACCGCATGCATCCACCCTCCTCTGTCAAACCCAAACTTTTCATAATCCTGTTCCCTCGAGTCCCCCTTCTTCGGGTTTCTTCGTCCAGGCTTTTTATTTTCCTTTTTATGATTCGAGGGCCTCTTTTCACTTTCTCGTCAATCGTTTTAAAAGACACTCTCGTCTGAACTTTGGCATCTTTGCCCCCCCCTTTCGTCATCCCCTCTTTAGTTCCCTATTTTCTGCATTGGAGTCCGTATTCCGCATTCTCGTATCCCGACGACGGCCTAATCAAGCGAGAAGCAATAAACGAAGAGATAACTGAGAAGAGAGAGAAATAAAAAAGACGAGAACCCACTGCTAGCCCCCCTGCTAAGCGGAAGCAAGCGAGTTTTTTTTTCTTTTCTTTTCTTTATAGTGGTGCTCTTTTCTCTTGTACTTTTCCTGGTCGACTTTTCTCGGCTGTCACATTGCGATTTGCAGCTCTTCCATGGTCTAGCCGCAAGCTTAATCTCGATTTCACCTTTTCCGATTCGTACCCGGTATCTACGGTATCGACGTCGACTTCAACTCTTTGGTCTACGAGACGAGTAAAAAGCAATACAACAAGATAGAAGAGGGGAGAAAGAGAAAGAGAAAGAGACAAGCCCATCATGCTGAACCCACGCCGCGCCTTGATTGCGGCGGCGTTCATCCTGACCGTCTTCTTCCTCATCTCACGATCGCACAACTCCGAGCAGAGCCCCTCCAGCTCGACCGAAAGCAGAGATGCCCAAGCAGAGGCACTGGCCGCCGCCAATGCGCAGCAGCGACTGCCCCCGCCGCCTCCGCAAAAGCCCATGATTGACATGTCGGGCATGTCAACGTACGAAAAGCTTGCCTACCAGTACGAGTACGACATCGAGGCCAAGTTCCCCGCCTACATCTGGCAGACGTGGAAGTACACGCCGGGCGAGGGCGAGTTCCAGTTCCGCGAGCAGGAGGCATCGTGGTCGATCGAGCACCCGGGCTTCATCCACGAGGTCATCACCGACTCCGTGGCCGACACGCTGCTGCAGCTGCTGTACGGGAGCATCCCCGAGGTGCTGGAGGCGTACCACGCGCTGCCGCTGCCCGTGCTCAAGGCCGACCTGTTCCGCTACCTGATCCTGTACGCGCGCGGCGGCATCTACTCGGACATTGACACGTACGCCA